TTAGGAAATCAGGGGGCCATCTTCTTTTCAGACGCCTCGGAGGGTTATCAGAAATTGAAGAGGAAGCAAGGGTTTGGATGATTCTGAAGTTTATTATGAAAGGATAGGTATCTGGATTAGGCCAGATCTGAAACATAAGGGACATTAAGATCTTTATGGATAATTTTAGTAGTGACAAAGTAAGGAGCATTGAGGATTTTACAAAGGATTTTGGATTGTAAGGATTGGATGCGAGAGGAATTCGATGGTTTAGTGGAGCTCCATAGCTCAACCCCGTAAGTCCAAATAGGTCTTATTATAGTCAAGTATATGAGTCTTTTGTAATTAATAGGAAGTATAAAGCTATTGTTTAGTAAGTGCTGAAGTAATCGGAAACGTCGAGCGGTTTCTTGTCGTTTCAGTCTAGTATGAGGATTCCAAGTTAGTCGCTTGTCCAGGTGGAATCCTAGGTATCTAATTTGCTCAACATGAAAGAGTTAATGACGAAAAATTAAATATCTTATAACCAGAAAATTAGACTATTTAAGTAATTCAGTAGCTAAGTCGATTATTACTGATACCGTACAATTTTGGGAATGTAAACAGTATTATCAAGCCAGCAGGATTGTTTATTACATTATAAAGAAAGTATTTTATCTGCCACGGTACATTCGAGAGATTTATTTAGAAACACAAATACAAAACCGCTAGTTTTAATTGCATTAAAATTACACCTTGACTTCATCATAAAAGTATTAATTATGTAGAATTACTGATTACCCAAGTTTATAGCGAAGTAATGAATAAAAAATAAAACATACTGGAATGAGGGCCCCTATCAAAATCAAGTATTTGGACACAAACTTTGAAAAGATTTCAGAATTGTAAAATAAATCAAGACAAGTTAGATATATATGTAATAGGACAAAACGTCGAAAACTATAACACAGGGGGAAAAAATAAAACAAACAAATATTTGATATATAAAAAAACTACATCATGACGGAAATAAAAATTACTTTTTTGAAACAATGAGTATTAAAGATTAGGTTCTTGAAATATGGTGCGAGCTATAAAACCTAAATTGTAAAATATAAAACGAGGTAAACTATACAAACTTGTTTCGTATGTAATTTAAATGAAGTAGAAAATACTTTTCAATCTCTAGCCCTCCGTCCGATATCTGAATTCGGCAAAAAATCTTTTCATAAAGAAGTATTGACTACTGAAGAAATAATTAAATTGATAACAATAAAAACACGCCTGTTTTAATAAAATATTGTCAATTGGCTTTGAATTGTAGAGATAGATTGGTGGGGGAGTTTAATTGAAGTTGATGAAGCGAGAGGTATATGCAAATAATGGGGAAGCATGAAAATTTGTATTTTGTTTATAATTTGTATCTGAGAGAGTGTGTGTATATATACCTTTATGAGTAAAATATTTTGTTTATTGTTTATTTTAAAAAAAAATTAAATTTATTTAAATTCTTATATAACGTGAACTTTTACCTACATATATATATATCATATATATATATATATATGATACATTATATATAATACATTATATATATATATATATATATATATATATATATATATATATATATAATGTAGGTATAAGTACACGTATATTTATATATACTAGTTGGCCCGTGCGAATAATTCGCAGAAAATTTTGTTTAGCGAAGAAATAGCAAAACAATATGGAAATAAGTAGATCCTAGGTATTAGGTGATGAAAGAATTACTATTTTTTCCTTGGTCGATTACAATATTCCATTTAACATAGTAGACCAAAATATTTGTACAAATTGCTTTGCTATGACCTATTTTTAAAAGCTGACTAGATAGATAATAAAGACTATTATTATTTCTAGATTATTAAAAAAAAATAAAATGTAAGAACGAGTGCCGTTAAAAAGTAATAAAGACTCCTAAATGCAATATCTTTAAAGAGGAAGACATTATTAAGTATACCAAAACTAATGGACTGTATCTCTGTTAATAATTGTCCACATTATACATATTTCTAACAGATTTTTACAACTTTTTTTTGTTTTGTTGGTAATTTAGTAATCTTTCTAATTATCATTGGTACAATCTAAAAAAAAAATGCATACTTTTTGAGTTATTATAAATAAAGTTTCTTTTCCTAGGGCTATTTTTCGCATGTGAAGGAGAAGAATATGGCGAAGTTATGGCGTATCAAAAAAAAAAAAAAAAAAAATATATATATATATATATTATTTGTGTTTTATTGGTGTTTATTTTTTTTTTGTTGGTACGCCATTATTGATTTTAATTCCAACAAATCGACTACTGCAGCACTTACTAGACAAACGATCTAAGCTTTCAATCAATTATAAACGACTCGTATATATGACAATAATAAGACCTATTTGGACTTACGGAATTGAGCTTTGGGGCTCCACTAAACCATCGAATTCCTTTCGTATCCAATCCTTACAATCCAAAATCCTTCGTAAAATGCTCAACGCTCCTTACTTTGTCACAAATAAAATCATCCATAAAGACCTTAATGGTCCATATGTTTCCGATCTGGCCCAATCCAGATACCTTTCCTTCCATAACAAACTGCAGAATCATCCGAATCCTCTCGTTTCAAACCTTGCTTCCTCCTCGATCCCTGATAACCCTCCGAGGCGTCTGAAAAGAAGATGGCCTCGGGATCTTCTAATATAGAACTTTAATTTGAGTTCTACCAATGGGTAGTTTCTCTTTATGTTGTACATGCCATGTTACAAATTTCGCATTTACTTATTGTATTCTCTATGTAATACAGTTGTAAATTCCATTGAAATAATAAAAAAAAAATAAATAAAAAAATTCCAACACGAATCCGTACATCCCACCACCACGAATTTTAAGGCGGTGGTGGAGAAAGTTTCTAACTCAACCCCGGAAATGTACAGATATGCTTATTGCATACGTAATAGAAACCGAATTTCAATTTCAGATTTACTTATTTATGTTAATAAATAAAATAATTATTTAAATTATGTATGCAAACATATTCTATGTAAATTCCATTCTGCATACAAAATATTATTAACCAACAGGTCTTGATTTCTCTAAAACGAACAAATTTATAAATGCAAAAATAATATATTATCAGTTTTAAACGCAGATAAGTCCGCATAACGCAGTAACTAAAATCCTATTAAAATATGTACTATCTTTTTAAAATACATATTTTACATAAATACAAAGACAAAGGCTGTTTTTTGAAGTACATTTATAACGGAGCTAAACATTAAACTTCACAGCTCAGCAATGACAACTCATCAAGACCATGACAGTAATACAAATCCTGTTTATTATATCAGCGGTGCCAATAAATAGAGAAATTCATCACATTATTAACATATTTTCTAAAATGTTACATAATGATTTTTCAGAATGCACCAACGATATATTATACCTAATTACTTAAACATACTATCGGATATAAAGTTATTAAACTTCAGCAAACGTATTTAAGACTTTGTTTGACTCATCCATGAAATATTTTTATATTTCATTTCTTCTTCGAGACAAGTACCATAAAATGACCTCTCAACACATTTCGAGGGAAGAGCCAGATGAAGGCAATGTGGTTTCTAATGCCATTCGCAAGCCAAAGGAGAATGGATGCAGGTTTCATTAGAGCCATTTTAGGAGTTTTTAAAGGATGGATGAGCTGAGATAAGAGATTTGTAAGGAGTGGTAAGAGTGGGGATTTGTATTCGATGAGGAAAGATGTCATCAAACTGAGTTCTGTGGTGTTTGGCGACCAGTTCTTTGTTTAGTTGGTGAACCACCAAGAATAGAGCTCTGACCGAGACCTTACTGGACATCACTTGGTGACAAGAACTCATATCATAATACTAAATATAATATTAAAAATAATTAAAAGGTTGTAACCATACAGACAGTAAATATCAACTAGTGTATCGTTCAAGATGATTTAAGTGAACAATCAAAAGATTCCTCTGAAACATGAGTATATTCTGGAAGCCGAGGTGAGATCACAACGTTACGCATCAGCTGATTATTTCATTTTTTTTTCTTATTGATATATACAACTGTATTACAGAAATACATCTAGTAAATCTGCACAAATGGATATAATGACGTGAAAACACTTGTTGAGCAACTATCCAATGGCAGCACTCTAATAATATGCCTACATTAGGAGATCACGGGGCCATCTTCTTTCCAGATGCCACGGAGGATTGTCAAGAATTGAAGAGGAAGCAAGGCTAAAGAGCATTAAGGATTATGAATTGTAGGGATTGAATACGAGAGGAATTTGATGTTTTGGTGGAGCCACACAAATCAATTCCGTAAGTCCAAATAGACCTTATTATAGTCATGTATACGAGTCATGTATAATTAATTAGAAGGTTAGAGCGTTTGTCTAGTACGTGCTGAAGTAATCGGAAATGTCGAGCAGTTTCAGTCTGGTGTGAGGATTCCAAGATAGACGTTTGTCCAGGTTGAGGCCAAGGTAACGGATTTGTTCAACAGGGATAAGTGAAGTATCACTAAAGGAAACTGTAGGACAGGAAGTCATTGGTTTACGACGAAGGGTAAAGGTAACTTGGTGGGATTTATTAAAATTTATTTTAATTCTCCAGTTTTGACACCATTCTTCAAGATTTATGATGTGTGATTGAAGCATTTGGAATGCAATTGATGGGTTTATTATTTACTGATAAAATACATGTGTCATCGCCATACGTGGTAATGACAGTGCTGAGATAGGTTGGGATATCACCTGTATAAAGGATAGGACCTAGAATACTACCTTGAGGAACACCAGCGGACTGGGAAAAGATGGATGAATAAGCGTTTTTGTGATTTAATTTAAATTTTTTTATTTATAATTGTAGTATTTTTGTTAGTTTTTATGTTGACATTTTTATGATGCTTTATATATGTATACTCTCGCATTTTGGTAATCCTACCTTATTACACAGGGGATCCTCTGTTATCCCAGACTCAAAAAGATGAGCTATGGGAAGACCGGTAGAGGGGATTTAACTCTTTGTCGACATCGGGGTTTAGACTTGGCCTTAAAACAAATATACTTTGTGTCGTCCGGTAGGTATCGGCCAAAATGGCAGAGACTAAGGCATTCAAACATGAACATGAGGTAACATCCCAGATTGCGTTTGTCACTATCTTTAAATAGCACTCTTCCTCGTGTTCGAGCATCGACGACGAGGGTGTTGATGACTTTGGCGCACAGGGATGGAGATGGTTGTTCCTCTAATGCTATGTCTGCAATGAATTTGCTCAAGGTAGAACGGTTGTCCCACAGTATCGACTTTTGATCCACGCTCAATTTCATTGGAATCATTGATTTTAAGAGTGTGCATTCCATTTCGAGGCAAAGCTTTCCAAGATATGTCGGTGGCTGTGTGTAATATGTCACATATTTATCAAAGCGTTCAAGAACTGGAACTTCAATTTCTGACTGAAATACATTTAACCTCCATGCTTCAGCAACTGTTGACTGCAGAGATAATAGTGTCGGTGATAGTCCTTCTGGAGCGTCTTTCTCAACTGGAAGCTCAGGTTCTTCAATAACCACGTTCTTAATGTGGTGGGAGGGACTTAACCTCTCAAGCATTTCATTGCTGAGTATCTCTCCATCATCCATCCATGGACAGACTTCATTGTAACGAAGCTTATATTGCTCTCTTATCATGCCGACAACAACCGGTGTCATCTTCATGAAGCCTTCCCTTGACAAGGAGAGACTCTGTAATCTGAGCGTGTTTTTTAGATCTGTTTGGAAGTCTTCGTTCTTTTCAACCTTTTCCAGGTTTGAAAGGAACTCACTTTTTTGCTTGATGCGTGGTTTATTGAGTTTGATACCATGCTCTTCGAAGCTCTGTCTCAATGCGATCGCTCTTTCACGTAGCTTAGCATGTACTTCCGGGCTAAGAATCTTCTTGCCCTTCTTGCCACGTGGGACTTGCCTCGCACTCTTCCCGGTATTCACGTCAGGCATAGCCGCGGTGGTCTTTTCATGTATGGATGATCCTTCCATTATTTTAGCTTTCTGTAACAAAAAAAGAAAAACAAAACATGAAAAATAAGAAAAACAGTTAATAAACAAACTGAAAACCATTTTTTTTTTTTAAAGTATTGATTAATAAAATAAAAATCAATCTAATATAAGTAATTTTAAAACTAGTTTGATAGAAATTAACAAATAAAAAATAAATTTATAAGAAATTCATAATCAGTCTTGAAAAAAAAATTCAATATAAGGCCGCATTGAATTCATTACATTTTAATATTTCTATTTCAATTATTAAAACAATACAATGAATGACATCAGCACAATGTTGGAGCGTTGTGAAATGATTCTTTTGATTTTTATAAATTTAACTCAATTAATATGAAAATTTATTTTCAGTTTTTTCTTTTACATAATTCCAAGGTTATTTACATAATTAAATCGTCGAAAAGAGATGAAAAGAATTTTCAAATACGAATTGGCTATTCTCACGATCATTGTTACTCAACGAAAAAAAAAAAAAAAAGCATGGCTAGTTTTCGGTTGCCTTTATCAAGTCAATTCGCGAAACCAATAGTGTTCCATCCGGCCTCTAGTCAGCAACAATATCAGTGATAAGTGAATGCCATTTTTAAAAATTAATTTTGAAAAAGAAACAAATTATATATTTCTTTATAAAAATCATTGCTAAAAAACTTTCAAGAAATGCAAAGAACATTTACAAAGATGAAAATTTACTCGTGAACAAAGGTAAGTTTAGTGTTCTTTTCGAGTAGTATGTAGATATTTATGGTTAAATTATCGTTACCTATTCTAATAACTTAGGTGTTCGTGAAATAAATAAGATTATTTAGAAATGAATCAAGTACTACTGTAATTTTAAAAATCAGGTGCCCGCAACACACAACTTTCACTTACCTTTCTACTTGAATATAAATTGTTATTAAACTGCAGTAAATGAATTTAAGGTTATAAATATATGTTTATACATCTATGAAATATTTTTATATTTCACTTCTTCATTCACAGTACTATCAAATAGTATTTTAAACAATGCCATTATCTTGATTAGGTGGATTTAAAAAATAAAAAAATAAAATTTTAAAAAAGTTAAACTTAGTAAATTTCATTTAATTTCTCTGAAAACATGTGTTTTCCGTTGAATCATGTTGGTTTTCATAAATTATTATTTATAATTTTTCGTTACTCTCCATTACTTTCTACAACTTTCTATATTAGATATTGTTTTTTTTTTTTCTAAAATTCTCAGCTTTCTAACGATATATTATATTAACGTATACCTTCTGACTAGTATTTCCTGAAATTTATTTTCGATCTAATAACACATTTTCCTTTTTTCTACATTTTTCAATCATCAAATTCTTTCAAGAGTTATATTTAGCACTTTTAACTCTTAATAATGAGAGATGGTTAATTATTTAAAATAAACAATATTAAAGGTATTATAGAGGAAGGCATATTGAACATTTAAGCATTTAAGCCCTGTAAAGTGACATCAATGGGGATAAGACCTCAATCATATTAAAGACCACTCAATTATAGAATGATACACCGAGTTCAATCAAAATCGTTAGAGCCGTTTATGAGAAAATTGTAAAAATGTTTTTCAGCGTTGATATAAAGTTCCACTCCCGGTTAGTCGATTTTAAAGAAAAAGTTGCTGTCACATCTAAGGCATACACTTATATTAAATACGTACCACTCGAACACTCACCCATCCACCCTCGCACGCGCACACACACACACACAGATTTTTATAAGCCTTGGATGTTACAGCAACATTTTCGTCAAAATTGAAAAATCAGAAGTGATAACGGTTTCGAATAAACTCAGTATATCACCGTATTATTAAGCAGTTCTTAATAAAATGTAGGTTTCATTCTCATTTATGTTCTCTAATAGGGCTTTAATGGCTAGTTTTGAATATTACCTTCCTCTAAATTACCTTTCATTTTTTTATTTGAAATAATTAACCATTTTAAATTAATCTTTGATACAAAAAATAGTAAAATATAAAATAATTTGACAATTACCTAAAGGAGAAATAAGAGATCATAACGATAATAGTTGTAATAAAGGAACCAAATGAATATGAGCGCGCCCGAAAGATTAGAATAGGTTCCCGTATGTAACATGAGATTAATATAATATGGACTCCGACAATATTATGTACATATCTGTGTGAGGTTTTCATAAATGCTATTATTATTTAATGTTTAATTTCATAGATTACAGAGCTATAATAATTAAAATTTCTATATATCAGGGTAATTAAACAAATAAAAATATCCACAATGAAATGTAAATAAATATAGCGTCTGTAAGTTTAACCTTCACTTCCCCTTTGTATAAAAATTTTATTTCTGCTAAGAGGGTGGTAAGTGAAAGTAGAGTGATGCGCGCACCAGAATTTTTTGATTGAATTACTTCACCCAAGTTCTATTCCACGAATAGTGCACTTGTTATATCGTCCTTTTGTAACGTTAAATTCGAATCATTGCCATTCACAGAATCATTTATCTTCCTCATATTTTTTTCTCTTCTTAAATTATAAATTTAATATGGACAAGATAGCAAATATTAACACAAAAATATGCAATTTAACGTAACAAAAATCAGAATCGTGTAATTTAAGCAAAAAATGGCAAAACGTGCAATATAAAATATAAAAATAAAATTTAAAATTTAAATATACTATTCTACTGATCCTGAAACGAATAGATAATAACGAATATGGTCCTGGGTTTTTCACGAAAACGAATAAAATGTGCAATAACATGGAAATCTGGTCTCTAATTATGTTTTAAATAATTTTTTTTTGTTCTTTTTGGCTTTAAGACTTTTCAAAGCAAGTACTATTTTGCCATGTGTTATATTATAGAGATGGATATGGTGCAGGTCACAGAAAGCGATGTTGTTAGATATGAAATAAATAATAATAATTAGAGGGACTGTAATTGGCAACAGAATTCTGACCCCTATAAAATAAAAACAGTCTAATATTACTTAATAATCAAACATACTTTAAAATAACACTCATTGTGTTAAAATCCTCCACTACAGCCAACCAATCTCCACGGTCTTGTGCTATTTCCCTCCATCTTCACACACCCAGCCATCCCAGATCCTCATCCACATCCTTCAGCCATCTGATCCGAGGACGTCCTCTACTTCTTTTGCCATTCGGTTTCACATCCTCTTTGACATTCTTTGGTTGCGCATTCTTTCCACATTATTTTATCAATGCTACAATGTGGGTTCCCGAAAAAGTTCCCATAACAACTCAATTCTTCTGCTACTTCAAATCCCGTTCTTAGCGACCCCGCCAAATATTCTTCTTAACACCTTTTTCTCACAAGAGTTGAGAATCAGTCCTGATTTACAGGTTAAGGTCCATGTATCATAATATACACCCATACATAACCAGTGACCTCACTATTGCTTAGGAGATAAGAATTTTTAATATATGATTTAAAGAGGAATTTAGTGAGAAAGAATTTAGATTCAGTATTTAAGAATTTAGATATCATCGGGGCAGAATCAACCTCAACCACTAGATTTTTTCTTTTAATTTATCATATAATTAAGAGCTATTCACTTTATAGAGGGTCCACTAGGGTCGATCCATTGCTGATGAAAAATGATCTGTCCTTAGCAAGATTCGAACCTGGGACAAAGAGCTTAGCGGCCTAATGCCCAACTCACTGAGCTACTCTGTTCTTTTTTAAAGAGAAAATAAAGCTTCGTTTGCGATTGTTATGATTGCCAACCGGATTTCAGTGGACTGTTTTTAAAAATTCTTTATTAGGAAATATTACAATCTGTCAGATCTAAGTACTATGGTAATAGTGTAAGAAGAATAGCTCATTCACAATATTTACACAATAAATAAACAGCAAAATAATGGTATTTAAAGTAATTGTATATAAAATAAAAGAAATTAAACTAAACTGATCAAAATAACTACTTAAATATACACAGATTCTTTTATACAATATTTACAAAATTCATTCACTCAAAATCTTCGAGCCCAGCTTTTTCTTCCACTTGTGTTAGGAGATCCCAGCGCCTCTGACTCAGCTGCATTACTGGCATTAAAACGGAATTTTAGAAATCCGTTTGGTAGAAGTGAAATTTATGGAAATAATGCTTATCTTTTTGTAAATACTTTTTAAAATTTTGTATAAGTGATTTACGACTTTGTAAGTACAGCGTTATAATGGAAGCTTTTGAGAAATATTCCGTGGTACAGAACCTATTTTATCAAATTATTAACATCCGGCTGAAACTTCGTAAATAGCTTCATTATCGTAACCTACAAATATTTTATTAACGAAAATTCTCGGAATTAGGACGTTTTCAATCTGGAGGTTGGCAAACATTCTCTATTTAATTAGGTGCTGAAAACTCGTAAATAACCATTTCCTTGCCAACTTAAATCGTAAGATAACTTGAGCACAAAGTCGAGAAAAAAGGTAGTCTTCAAAAATATTGAGCTGTTTGGCGTGATCTACAAACATAAATTTTCAAAATAACGATGTTAGATAACTGAAGAATGTTCTGTATTCACATAAGTTCAGAAGAAAGAGCTTTTCTTATTTTTGAAAGGAAAGTCCTTCACTACCTATTACTCAAGAATAATAGGCGATTGGAGACGAATTTTATTATGAAACGATCCATAATAAAATGTTTCCCTAATTATATAAAATAGATATAATTTTTACAATTAATTTATTTAGAAGCTCACTTATTTCTCTTTCAGGATTCTACTAAAGTAATATTATAAGATCTCTCCGCTTCACTATCATCCGAGGCTAAAATGAAAATGAAGAACTTATTCAGGGTAAGTTGATGATTTATAGATGAAAAATAATTTCCTCTGAAGATGTTTGATTTTATAGTCGATCTTAATTATTAAAAACGTCGTAAACCAACGACTTCCTATCCTACAGTTTCCTTTAACAATACTCCACTTATCCCTGTTGAGCAAATCCGATACCTAGGAATCCACCTGGACAAACGACTAACTTTGAATCCTCATACTAGACTGAAACGACAAGAAACCGCTCGACGTTTCCGATTACTTCAGCACTTACTAGACAAACGCTCTAAACTTCCCATTAATTACAAAAGACTCATATACTTGACTATAATAAGACCTATTTGGACTTACCGAGTTGAGCTATAGGGCTCCACTAAACCATCGAATTCCTCTCGCATCCAATCCTTACAATCCAAAATCCTTCGTAAAATCCTCAATGCTCCTTACTTTGCCACTAATAAAATTATCCATAAAGATCTTAATGTTCCTTATGTTTCAGATCTGGCCCAATCCAGATACCTATCCTTCCATGATAAACTTCAGAATCATCCCAACCCTCTCGTTTCTAACCTTGCTTCCTCTTCAATTCCTGATAACCCTCCGAGGCGTCTGAAAAGAAGATGGCCCCGTGATCTCCTAATGTAGTCATATCATTAGAGTGCTACCATTGGGTAGTTACTCAGCAAGTGTATTCATGTCATTATATCTATTATGTCCAAATTTACTTGATGTATTTATGTAATACAATTGTAAATGTCATTAAGAAATAAAAAATAAAATTATTAAAAAATCTCGTGTTTCCACTCACACGACTTTCCTACCTATCTCTGAAAAGTTTTTATATTTTTAAATATGCCCATTAAGAAACAAACAATATAACTACATTTATTTTTCTGAAATTTTATCAAAGAAAAGATGTGAGCACGATTTCTTTGATAAACTAAAGCAATGTAAACCGGCTTAAGATAGATCAGTATACAAATTTCAACACCCTCTAACATTGCGATCAGAAAACTTTTTGCCATAGCTTAATTTTGTCACACAACAATTTCTGTTAAAAGTAGAGGAAATAGTGAAGCTTGTGTGATGTGGGCAACAGATTTTCTTGCTTTCACTTATATTTTCTATCATTCACCCCTTTCTGACACCAGTATATGAACCCGTAGACTTACATAAGAAATCAAATAGTTGTAACTTCATTAATAGTTGTCAGAAATGAACGATTTCATATAGTTTTGTACAGAATTTCAAGACAATCCAAAAATATGTATCATCGCTAGTACTGGTTCGATTCCGATGATTTTATTTTTGTTTTGTTGGTAATTTAATTACCATAGAATATATATTTAGCGAGTTAGGCCCCAAAAGATCATGGGAAAGTTTCATCTTTAGAGCCGTTTTTACGCTAGTCTATAGAAAAATATGTTTTTCACTTATTGCGCAGGAAGCATCCAATTTGTGTTACAGGCATCAGTAGAGAAAACCCTACAAAATAAAACAAGAAGCCACAAAATTGGTTCACTAGATCTCCAGAAAACCGCATATCGGAAATTTGACCCGATCGCAATGCATTCCTTACCTAGTATAGGTAGCAAAGTAAAAATGTTTGTAATTAATGACTTAAGATACCAAATTATCTCAGTAGCATTAAAACAAACTGGCCAAATCTAAACTTGCTGGAATACTGTTAGGTTGTAACAGAAAATGAGTCCAAAGCTACATAATACCTATTAAAAACAAATCATTATATCATCTTATAAAAAATTCTCGACTAAAAAAAATAACTCATTCTTATGAAGGATAATTACAAGGGAGTTATGATGTGTAGCGACCCATCTAAGTGACGGAATGTACTTGTGTATCTATTTAAACATATTAGTAGATCATTAGTGAAGAGCAAAACTCAAAATGATATTGGGTTGGCAAATAAGTCCTTTCAGTTTTTCTGTTTATTTTTATGTCGCTATGACACACTTCTTATCTGATGAATTGATCCCTAAGGTGGATTGTTTATTCGGTTTGTAATATGTCTACAACTATATCTGTTAACTCTTGTTGAAACTAGCTTAATATTGTATTTGCTATTTCACTGTGAATATGGAAGAAAATATTATCCATTATACTTTGTTGTATTATTTTTAAAAAGTTAAGCGTGCTGCAGAACCTCATAGAAAAATTAGCAGTATTTGTGAGGATGATGTCTTAACCGAACGCAGCTGTCGAAATTGGTTTGCCAAATTTCATTCAACTAATTTTGAAATGAATGATGCTCAACGGTCTGGTTCCCCATATGAAATTCAAACTATCGAATAAATGTTAAGGCCATTGTTGATCGAAATCCCACCCAATCAGTGCGAGAGATTGATATGGCTATAAAAATGAGGTGTCGCACATTAGCGTAGAAAACCATTTGCACAAGCTCAGTTTCCAGACTTAGTGTTTGGGTTCCTCACATGAGTTTTTTTCAAAAATAACAAAACATGTTATAACTTCAATATGACTTTAGCTATTCTACAAGAAATCTAGCAGGAATTTAGTCTAGATGAACCACATAAAATGACTTCAACAGGACCTTCGTAAACAAACTGTAAATGTAGATAAACAATAAAAACCTATAAGGAGTTTTTGTTTATTTATTCCTTACGTACGCATGTAATCAAAAAAGCATTCATACGGCTTTAAAAAGCAATAATTCAGCTTTTCAACGGATATAGTATATCGAATTAGGAGAACATCCTGAAGAGTTATGAACGATCGAAAGGTTGTTGCTTTCCAACAAGACAACGCTAGGCCCCACATCTCGTTGGTCACTATCAATAAATTATTGAGCCTTGAACGAGACCTTTTTCTCCACCCTCTCTATTCACCAGACCTAGCTCCAAGTGACTACCACATATTCCAGTCTCCCCAGAACTCCATGAATGGAAAGAAATAAAAAAATATTTCACCTGTACAAATAAACATACAACGCAGGCAGCTGCATGAAATGGAATGTACCAATGTACCAAGTTTCAACATTCATACCCATAAATTTCACCAACAGTCATTCCATTTTGGTTTATTATTTTCAATAATGAACCAGTTTGATCGAACGAAAAATTCAAAAACTTAAATCCATCCCAAAATGTGAGGTTTTACGTTTCATCATACGCATAATTCGAAAAACAAATAAAACTTTTTTGTCCGTCCGCCGTCCATGCATTTTCTCCATAACTACTGGACCGATTTTTTTCAAATTTGGATTTAAAATTAGAGGTCATCCGAGGATAATCCATCTTCATCGTCATTTCTATCTGCCTTTTCCTTTCACGGTGGCGACCGAAAAATTGCGTTGCTATGGACTGTTGCGCCTAAAAGAATGTACCGATTTCAAAGAAACTTCGCTAAAGTCTTCTTGATTCCCTTCAAGTTTATCTACATAACATACTTCAACGAAAAGAAACTGGAAACAAAGTTAGGAGGAATGGTAAAATTAAATTCCGAATAACTCAAAAGTGTATACTTTTTTGTTGATATTGTATTTGTTTATTTAAAAGTTGACGGAATTTCCTAAAAATAAAAAAAAATGGTTAAAATCGAACATTTAGGAGCAATGATATGGTCTTTAGATGTTTTTTATTTGTTTTGGTTTTTGAATGTGTTACTACTGAAGTAATGCTAATTTTTTTATTTAAAAAAAATTAAATTAAAAAAGAGATGTTTAGTCTAATAATTGGAACTTGAATTATTTTCTTCATTGACACTAGGAAGGTAATAATGATACTTTAGATGTATAATTGTTTGGAAATGAACCATTGTGAAATAATTTGCAGCGATTTTTTTGGCTTTTATATAATTCAATGCACGTCATTTTAATGTTTATGGTAAAAAACAATTTAATTGAAACTAACAAAATCTCTTTGTATATTTATTTTTCATCAGAAAACTTTCAAGGATTCTTTACAATAGCTAATTATGCACTTTAATTCCGTTTAATATTACATTTTTACATATTCGACAATTAGATTTTGGTTGATTCCTACTTACTTAGTTTCACTGCAATAGTTTTCAGATAATCAAATGTTTTAAATTTGTAATAAATTTAAATTTTTTTTATTTATTTATTTTTTTTTTATTTCTTTATGACACTTACAACTGTATTACATAAATACATCAAGTAAATTTGGACATAATTGATATAATGACATGAATACACTTGCTGAGTAACTACCCAATGGTAGCACTCTAATGATATGACTACATTAGGAGATCACGGGGCCATCTTCTTTTCAGACGCCTCGGAGGGTTATCAGGAATTGAAGAGGAAGCAAGGTTAGAAACGAGAGGGTTGGGATGATTCTGAAGTTTATTATGGAAGGATAGGTATCTGGATTGGGCCAGATCTGAAACATAAGGAACATTAAGATCTTTATGGATAATTTTATTAGTGACAAAGTAAGGAGCCATTGAGGATTTTACGAAGGATTTTGGATTGTAAGGATTGGATGCGAGAGGAATTCGATGGTTTAGTGGAGCCCCATAGCTCAACTCCGTAAGTCCAAATAGGTCTTATTATAGTCAAGTATATGAGTCTTTTGTAATTAATGGGAAGTTTAGAGCGTTTGTCTAGTAAGTGCTGAAGTAATCGGAAACGTCGAGCGGTTTCTTGTCGTTTCAGTCTAGTATGAGGATTCCAAGTTAGTCGTTTGTCCAGGTGGAGTCCTAGGTATCGGATTTGCTCAACAGGGATAAGTGGAGTATTGTTAAAGGAAACTGTAGGACAGGAAGTCGTTGGTTTACGACGAAGGGTAAAGGTAATTTGGTGGGATTTATTGGAGTTTATTTTAATTATCCAGTTTTGACACCATTCTTCTAGATTTATGATGTGTGATTGAAGCATTTGGGATGCAATTGCTGGGTCATTGTTTACTGATAGGATACATGTGTCATCGGCATATATGGTGATGACAGTGTTGGGATGGGTTGGGATGTCAGCTGTATAAACCGTATAGAGGATAGGACCTAGGATACTACCTTGAGGAACACCAGAAATTTAAATTTTTAAAATTTAATAGTTTTCTTCCTAGCCATGATTTTTGTTGTTTAACTTTATAAATAAAGCTACGATTCTTATTACCTACTCGCAATGTTTCATATGCTTGTAACAATACAGCTAAAAAAAATTAAACACCATATTTAGAAATTGGAAATTTTAGTGAAATCGGTGCGCTAATACTGATAAAGATTACAACAAATATTTCTGTCTGTTTTTATTAATTAATAAAATCGTTGAATAGCATTAACTAGTGGACCATTATTGGACCCTCTTTTCCATCTACATCAATGACCTCCCTTCCTCCATCATACACTGTTAATATCACCTATACGCCGATGGCGACCAAATTTATCTTTCCTTCAACCCGACAGATTCCTCTATTGCTATCCTGAAACTGCAACAAGACATCAATAGAATATGCGCATGGCCAAATCTTAATAAGCTGACATTAAATACGGAGAAGACATAAACCATCCTCATCTGATCCCCCTCACTTCTCAAATCCATTTCAGCACTTCCTAATCTTTTTCTGAACAACTTACCTATCTCCTTCCATATCACCGTTAAAAACCTTAGCGTTACCCTCGCTCATATCCTCTCCTGGAAACCACACATTTTCCAAATTTCCTGCCGTACTATATCCACCCTGAAACAGTTTAATCATCTACGTTATCTTCTTCCGTTCAAAACCAGTCAACTCCTGGTCTCCTCTCTTGTTTTCTCCCACTTCGACTACGGCTGTTTGGTGTATGGTGGACTCTCGGGAGAACTCGAAGCTAACCTTAAACGTTTAATGAATTGCTCAATCCGCTTTATCTTCGGGACCTCAAGGGATACTCATATTAGCCAGTTCTACACCGAGTTGAAGTGGCTCTATCCATCCTACCGCCGTCAATATTTCTGTGCTACTTTCCTACACCAGGGCAACACAACTCGGCGACCCCCCTATGTTCTACAAATCCTCCAAATCAAATGCTCCTTTCAATCCCGTTCCACCAAATCCCGTGCGTCCGACCTCTATCCTCCTCCTCACCGAACTGCTGCGTTTGATAAATCTTTTTTAATCCAAGTTGTATCCCTTTGGAACCCTATACCCTCAGATATTCGACACGCAACTTTCAAATCTCTCCTCTTTAAACACCTACTCCATTACAAATCCGATTGATTATGAAATGCACTTAAAAACCTGAGCTGTAAAAACCTCAAAGTACACCCAGATACTCTTGATTATTTTGTGATTCATCGATATTTCGTTTACTTAATTACTCTCTCTGTATATTTTAAATTTTCACGTGTTTATATATTTTGATTAATTATAACTTTATTGCATTCCTGATCAACCTGTTAATATTAAATTATATTTTATGGACACACTAAAATATTAATATATGTTATGTATTTGTAACTTGTTCTAAAGGGACACTAGTCCTAGAAAAATAAAATTATTTTCATTCATTCTTTCATTATCTGATTGAAAATTAGTGGGTAACTTTATTTCAATTCAATAATTTGATTTTTATTTCAGATTTGGGACAGAAGTCAAACAGTCTACGAAATCGACCAAAAGAACAAGTAAGTAATTTTAATTTGTTACTATTAAAATAGAAAATCAGGCAAATCAACGTTGTTGTTTTTTAAAATAATTTGAATATCATTTCTGATTGTTTTTTTAAGTTGCAGGAAAAAAAAAATCGGAAAACTAAGGGCTATTTATAAAATCGTAAGTATACATATATTGGTACTCATTTTTATTTTCTTGGAATAGATTAATCTGAACTGCAACATTAAATTACACGTACAGGTAAGTCCTAAACTAGAGGGATGCAGAACTCCATTGGGCATTTAAGCCCTGTTAAGCGACATCAATAGGGATAAAACCTAAATTATATTAAATATTACTTAATTAAACATTAATACACCGAGTTCAAACAAAATCGTTAAAACCGTTTTCGAGAAAGTTGTAAAAATGTGTGAAGTCGATTATATAAAGTGGCAGTTCCGGTTACTCGATTTTAACGAAAAAGTTGATGTCACATTTTAACCACATACAAACCTTAAATGCGTAATATCAGTTAAGTACGGCTTTTCGTTTTTGAACTAGACTGTTCACATACATACACACAGACCATTTTGCGGAACTTGGTTATTTGGACTCAGAGGACCTCAAAACGTGTATTTCCGCTGGGAAATCAGATTTTAAAATGTTCACGATCGCAATACTTTTCCTTACTATATATTACATAAATATAAGTTAATGAAAGTAAAAGGTTCTATTTAATGTGCCTCAACTTTTATTCAAAAAATCGATTTTTTTTTCCAGTGTTGGTCTTGCAAAGTGCAAGACCCAGACCGATTTTGGACAACACTAGTACCGATGATATGTTTGAAAGTATTGGTTCTCCATCCGATCAAGTGTGTAAATCGAGCGTAATAAGGGGATGGGTGAACCTGGTGACCGATCACCAGGAAAAGACACATTACTCGAGGTAGCTATGGTATGTGGAACACGTCAGCTTACAGGATTCAACTCATACAAACCGGGCGTAGAACTGACAACGGACCAACCCGTTTACCAGGAAGTCAGTAGCTCCCTGAGATTTGGTTTAAGTGTGGCCTGTTGAAGCAGACTAAATTCATAGATCTAGACCGATTTGTCACAGTCCTTAAAGCTGAGTTAATGATAAGGACACTGCCAGATTGGTTCCAAACGGATAGACTAAAGTCCGTATTAATCTTAGGTTAGATACTCCCGCAAACGATATACTTCTGGAAGAAGACCAGATCTTCTTCGACCCATTGGCCGTTGATCATTATTAACACCATCGATAAAGCCAAACTAAAAATAATAAAATAAAATAAAAATTGTTAAGTAAAAATAAGAACACCGTAGCGTCGAACAAATTTTAAATTTTTAAAAGTTAAAAACTTTAGTAATATACAATTTACTCATGAGTGGTTTTCTTCAACAGTTAGGCCATGCCAGCAAGAGGGACAACATCATGTTGGGTGTTAGCATATTTTCTGCCTTCGCTATCGCATTCGTCGCTCCAATCGCAATGTACACGCTAATCGCACCAGTCCTAAATGTCTTCCTCAAACTAGAGACACCAGGAAATGTGAGTATAAAACTAATTCTTCGTAAATGAAATCACCATTCATATTTAATGGAACAACTGTAGCAAATACATTGATTTATCGATATATTGCAGCCATACCACATCAACATGACTGCAGAGATTCCCATGGTAAGATTCTATGGCTATGGATACTGCGCTATTGGAGTGGTCACATTATTTTTGAGCATCATTCAGGTGAGAAATAACTAATGTTGTATTAGTATTTTATTTTATTTATTGGTTGATTCTTAGTAAAATATTATGCAATACAAAATTTTTCATAATACAGAAACTAAAATTAAGTTACCACGGTTGTTTAATACTGTATTTTATCGGAATTACTACAGAGAAAACACCGACAGTATCATAATATTTGTTTGCTTCTATTTGGTAATAAGCTACTTTATTCTTATTATATTTTAGATTCAAATAAATGTTGAGAAATAAATATTTTCGATTAGAATATGACTTGTTATCACCATGATTATAACGCAGAGATAACAATAAGTAGAGACTGTTCTGATTCCCTACCGTAAACAATAATTCTATTGAATAAAGATATATTATTACTATTAATTTTTTTTTCCTCTCGCATCCAATCCTTACAATCCAAAATCCTCAATTCTCCTTACTTTGTCACAAATAAAATTATCCATAAAGATCTTAATGTTCCTTATGTTTCAGATCTGGCCCAATCCAGATACCTATCCTTCCATAATAAACTTCAGAATCATCCCAACCCTCTCGTTTCTAACCTTGCTTCCTCTTCAATTCCTGATAACCCTCCGAAGCGTCTGAAAAGAAGATGGCTCCGTGATCTCCTAATGTAGTCATATCATTAGAGTGGTACCATTGGGTAGTTACTCAGCAAGTGTTTTCATGTCATTATATCCATTATGTCCAAATTTTCTAGATTTATTTATTTAATACAGTTGTAAATGTCATTAAGAAATAAAAAAAAAAAATATTTTTATTTTTAGCAATTCCTCGTGCGGATCTCGTTATCGCCTAGGGTAGTGTCCCAGGGGTAGCGGATGTGGGGATGATCGGTGAAAATTCCTTGGAAGTTGCTCCCAGCTAAGTCCACTAGGTCTAATTGAGGAAGTGACGCAAGATTGAACGCCTTACTCAGATATATATATAGTTCACCATGCACCACGCTCAATATCTGGAGATAAACTAGGCACTCTTTCGGGTTTCCGGGCGGGGACTCTATTAGGAGATTCATTGGGAAAGTTAAAAATTAGGGATTTAGATATAGGGATGAGGAATGTAAGGGGTTTGAATTCAAAAGGAGGGTTAATAACAGACACGAACGACGTTAATTGGTACTATTTGGAAATATTGGAACTACAAGAGATTCGCTAGATTTGGGTTTCTAATTACCAGTGGATAGTTATCACATAACTCTTTAGTGAAAGGAAATTGGTATACATATTTCAGGGACACTTGTTTAAAATCGCGTTATTTGGCATGCATCGTCCGACCAATTAGAATTAGAAATCAATTCGAGTAAGGAGTTAACAAAGTTTAAAGCTTTAGAATCTTCTAATGAGCATCGCAATGATATAGACAATTTATGTGCAGGGATTAGGGACGACATTAAAGAGGTCAATAATTCCTGTCTTGGGAAAAATTAAAATAAAAAGGACAAACCCTGTTCCGAACAAGATTCGTAAAAGCTCTAAACAATTCTAGCGAAATTAAGAATGAAACATAAAGAATGAAACTAAAAATTTTTCAAAAAAAAAGAAAAAAAAAGGATCTGGAAAGTAAAATAATAGAAAGGCATAAACAATACAAAGACATAAACAAATCACGTAAATGTTTAGGACCCATAACGACTGGAATTAGTGATGAAAATAACAATATATTGACGGATCTAGTAGACTAGTATAAGTGTACAATATTCTGAACACGGGAAATAATGATCTGTGCCACGGAGCAGCGAGAACCGATAACATTTCAAGTGAACTAATAAAGGTACATGGGGAAGATTGGGCTGTTAAAACACATTTATTGGTTAAAAAAATCTAGTCTTCCGATTCACAAAAAGGACCTGGAGGACGGATTGCAATAATTATTGAGGAATCTCACTCCTTCCAGTATGTTATAAAATATTTACATCAATTCTTACTAATCGAATGTATGGGATATGCATGACGGAAATATTCAATAATGTTAGAATCGGTAATTATTTATCAAAAAAGTTTGAGGTTCGTTTGGGTTTTAAACCAATTGATTTCCTTTCACTTGTACTGTTTAATTCGGCATCAGAACATACTATTAGGGAGGTAATCAGGATCGAAAAAGATTTGAAACTGGATGGAACAATATCCGTGCTTGGTTGTGATCTGATGATTTGGTCCTCTTAAGCGATGAGACGGAAACTATAAAACTAAATCCGGAAAAGAAAATGAGAGCCGTAAAGAAAGAATATGAGTTCAGGAAGATTCAGGTAAGGACTGGAGATCGAAATAAATATTGATAAGACAAAATGTAAAGTTAGCAAGGCAACAATATCGGCGATATCGATACAGAAGGAAATATGTTTAAAAACAGAAGTTAGAGTCTACGATTCCTAGAAAAAATGAAATTGAAGAGGAGAGAGATTAAGGATAGTTTGAGAGCAGCAAATGGAAATTATTTTTCACCGACAAAACTGCTTAGCTCACGCTTCCTGCCTATAACTTAAAAATTGGAATTTCCAAAACCACTATCCTACCTACGGTTCATCTTTATGGATACGAAACATGTCTGCTCACATGAAAGGATGAGCAACGTCTTAAGGTTTTTGCAAATAAAGTAATGCCTAGAATATTCGACTGAAAAAGGATGAGTCCACGAGAGGATTTAAACGATTATACAACGCCCAATTACGTGAACTGTATCCAGTTGATATATTTTAGATTATTACGTTATGGGGAGTAAAATTGTTGGGCTTAGTTTTTTTTTTCTCATTCTCTAATTTATTAAAGTACAATTACAATATATATTTTAAAAGTATACATATATATTATATATAATAAACAACTATTATATTTCTTGGGGGCATTTTAAGATATGAATGGAGTAGGCATTTATCACATAGTGGCCAGTGTCTTCTTTTATTTTCTCAAAGGGCGGGGAGCTGCGTCCTGTTCTTTTACAAGTAAAGAAATAATCCCTGAAAGGTTAATACATGCCGTGCCGACTGGTAAACGTCCGAGGGCTAGACTGAAGCGAAGGTGGGAAGATTCCGTTAAAGCTGATCTGGTGGAGTTCAGTTTGGAAAGCGATCAGTAGAGCTTTGTAGACATTGATTGGTGGTGTCTTCATGTTCGCTAAGCCTTTTATTATTATATTACTATCATTATTAGCTATTTTTCATATCTCCATAATACATGAAATTTCATTGATAATCGCTTACTTTTCCAGATTATGGCTTCTGAGATAGCTTCTCGTAACATAACGTCCAAAATTAAGACTGCCTACCTATCGAAGATGCTGTCGATAGAGACTGCCTGGTACGACAGATCACAAGAACAATTTGTCTACACTGTCTCGCAGTAAGTCCCTACAATTAATTTATAAAATTTACGTGATTAATTTTAAAACCGGTAAGACATCTCGTATTTCTTCCAACATAGGTCCTATCAAAAATCCAAATGGCCGCGGGCACACTAAGATAATATGCCTTGTAAATAGCGTAGTTAGTATGTGGTGGGCTACTATTTGCCATATGCTTGAGGACTGATCTAAGAACCTCCTCACCTGGCCTTATCCTTTCACCTCGGATGTCCTCGTTGAAATATATATTCCGCGATAGTTGTGACAATCCATGATATCAACTTTCTTATGGATCGGGCAGATGATTATCTTGTACCATTCACCTGGTAATACTTCTTCCGCCCATATTTTAATGATAACATTATGCATAAATCCTGTGAGTTCTTTCCCTCCATACTTGAACAATACCGAGGGTATCCCATCCGTCCCAGGGACTTGTTTTTCAGGAATCCTATGACGTATTCTACATCTTCCTTGTCGGAAGGCTCCAGATCACCAACCGGCAGATCCTGCCTATCGACTCTACAGCAGGGGATATTGTCATTTAGGAGCCTTTGAAAATAGCATTTTGTTCTTATCAGTGACTATGTTTCCCTCCGTGTCCTTGCAAGCACTGGTCTGGGGTTTGAAAGTTCTTCGGCTCTGGTTAATACGGTATGTAGAATTTCCTTATTTCATTTTGGCCTCTTATGTTCTCTATCTCTTCCAGTTGTTTCCTTTCCCAGTTCCTTTTCTTCCTCTGAAAGAGTCTTTTCTTAACCCCTCTTCGGCTTCGGTATTCTTCTACAGAAGTTCTTGTGTGTTCTCGCTGGACCATCTGCCGATTAGCTTTATTCTTAATAATGGTGATCCCCTTACACTCCTCATCGTTCCATCCTGCTTTCCGCGCAAGTTCTTGATATCCGATTGTTTAATTTGCGACTTCCACTATTGCCTCCTTGCAATCACTTCATTGTTGGTCTAAGTCTCCGGATTCACCGAGGATTCTTATCTTATGATTCATATGCATAGAGAAGCTTTCTCACATCTCTATAATTTGAACACCCCCTAACGTGGAATTCGGTTTAACGTAACCTGACTAGTTGCGTTCTTCACTGGAATCGCATCATTGAAATTCGCGCTCTGATCCGGGCGATTTTGAAGTAGAGATCAGAGTCGATGTTTACTCCTCTGTAAATTCTGATAGACTTGAAGATGTCTAGAGGACACCAATAAATGGTCTATCTGGTTGCCAGTGACACCGTCGTTATACCGCCAAGTTGCCTGATGAATCCTTTTATTGGGTAATCTCGTGCTTTCTACCACCAAATCTTTTGAGGCTGCAAATTTTATGGTTCTCTTACCATTTTTATTTGTGACATTATGAATACCGTGTAGATCTGTTGTGGGTCAGTATTGAGGTTCTTTTCCTATTTGGGCATTGAAGTCCCCAATCACAATCTTGATATCAGCTCCCGGACAACTATCAATGCTTCTTTCAAGATCTTGTTAACAACGATACTTTTCATCTTCTTCCGACGGCTCCGTTGGTACATGGATGCTCATAATGCTGAAATTATAGAATTTACCTCTCATTCGGAGAGAAATAGCATTAAATCCAATGAGTTGAGCCATCTTCTTACTGATTCAACAAGCATACAGATCGTAACAGCAGTAACAGATTGTATGATTTTTCTTGTTCAATATTCCTTGGCCTGTCCACCTTATTTCTTGGATCGTCTATTCTTGGATATGTCTATTTTATATCTGTCCAATTGTGTTAGGAGCTGCTCTAGAGCCCCAGATTGGTGTTCCATGTTTAAAATCCATTAGACGGGTGCTGTGCCATTGCTTCAGGTTCAGTCCGGCTTCACAATAATTAAATTTGCGTGGAGGGGTTTATCAGCCCAAACTCTACCCCCGAGTAAGGTTCCCCTCCCGGGGCGGCTACATAGGGAAGGTGACCCGAGGATGTGTACTGTTGATGACCTTTGAATGTTAATGTGTGGTGTATATGTAGTGTGCTGTAAACGGTGTACTGTCTGAGTGTCAGAGTTATTGTTCCTCCAAACTAGAGGACCAGTGGCTGATTGCAGTCACGTGACTGGGCGATGGGTTCGCCACTTTCCTACGCCCTCAGCTAGTTACAGAAGGAAACTATCCATAATACGAAGAATTTGTGTACGGGTAAAAAATAGCAATATGCCTAGCAAATTTCAACCTCACAAGAAATGCCTGCTTCTGGAAGGTCACCGGAACAAGGATGAGCGGAAGAACAAACCTAAAACAATAGAAAAATAAAAAAGAAACCTGAAAGAGCAGAAGCAGAATGTCACAACATTAAGAATTAGTCACACTCAGCTGACGCATGAATCCACGGCATCATGGCCAAAATGTTGGACATGCAACGCTCATCTGACGTTTGATTGGTAACATTTTAGAAGATTGTCCGATGTATGACAGCTACTTGCAAAATTTAAACTTAAAAAAAATCCTAACAATACTGGGCGATAATTGCATCAAACCTTGTTATAGGTAGAACCACTTTTGGTTTTACTGAAGCTTCTCTTATACTGATCTCCTTCATTCCTGCGAAACTGATTTTAGAACCATAAGACCCTACATTATCCCTACATCACCCATAACCCTACATTATCCTCATAAGCTATTTAATAGCAGTATTAATAGATAACTGATGACATTACACGTTAAAATATTTTAACTTTTTATTTGTTACAGTGATTTGCAAAAGATGATTGTCTTATTCGACACTGAAATGACTAATGCAGCTGAAATGGTTTCATATTTTATTTTTGGCTGCATATCTGGCATCGTCGTTTCGTGGAGGGTGGCACTTCTGTCCCTTGGATTGATGTTGCTTACTATGTTGGCCCTCTACTTTATTCTGCAAGTAAGTATTCAAGGTGTTATATTGATGGCTCAAGTCTAGATGTCTGTTATTCTATATGAAGGCTCTAGAGGTAAATGGGTAAAAGTGAATTTTTTTGTAAATTACAGTTAACAGCATGGCTTATCTGGAAATTTGTTTATTTACACCGTAGCAACGAAATATAACCTTCTGTTCTGTTCACCTCGGGCTCCTTTATAATGGTCAATCGTTTAACCTCCAAACGTTAACCGGCTTTTGGAGGTAAAGAGTTACAAGCCACAAGTGAGAGAATTGTATTAGAATAACAAATGAGAAAACAATTGTTATCTTTTAAATAATAGTTAATTTATTTAATTGATTATTCCCTGATAAATAAACTAATTGGCGTTTTTTCATTATTTTATAAAACATATTTATTTTATACAAATAAATGCAATGGATAAATAATAATTTCATAACAAAATAAATTAATTCATCGTTGCGATTATAAAATAATGCCTATTTTTAAATGTTACATATTTTGAAATAGCACGGTTACGTTTCGACTTATTTTGACAAACTGGAGTTCTTTTTGAAGTTGAAATTTACCTTTGGGGTTAACAGAAGTGCATGTCTTAAAAATACTATCTGCATAAAGATATTGAAATTATATTCCTAAAATCGTCAGTATTTTCATTAAAAAGTCTCCAAAAATATATTGCTGGACGCTTATGTCGAATAAATCCGAAAAGTTATAATAAATTGATAATCCTGAAATGAACCTCTTATATGAAAAGCAAGCGTTTTTTTTTTATTTTTTTTTTACCATTATGAATAAATTAGTTGGTTGTAAAAGGATAGTCATCATTCTAAAAGTGATACAAAACATCAATTATAATACAAATCCGCTTCAACTGTTTGGGGGGATTTATAAATACTGAAAAACCTATAAAAAAGAAAATATGTGGGAAGAAAAAATGCGGTTTCAAGAGAGATTTAACTTTAACTATTTTTAGCTGAAAACTTAGTTATTGTCACTTATACCCTTTCCCTTGGTTATGTAATATAAAAAATTCTTAAGAATAGAATATTTTGAAAATATTAAATCAACTTAGAGTAATGTAACAGTGAAATTTTAAAAAAATTAGAAAAATGTGACTACATAATTTGTCACCCAAGCTTCTTTTTTTAACATTTCATAAAAGAATAAAAGTTGTATTTCGATCATAACCAATCATGTTTTTAATTTTTGAAATTGAGATGTTGCATTTTTTATTTTTATAGGCATCCAAAAAGAAAGCAAATTTGCAGCAAGACTTTGTTAAAAAATGCACAAAAATTACCTCCGAAGTACTCGGAAATGCTCGTACTGTTGCTGCATATGGTGGTGAATATGAAGAAATCAAAAGGTATTGATTATTCAAATATAAATTTCGACAGCTTTATACACTTTTTAGAAAATAATGAATCAATTACAAAACCACAAGCTTCTAAATAATCTTTATTTTTTGGCTATGTTGAGCAGTCAAAGCAATACTTTATAAACTATCTAATTGAAATAATGATAACACATTTATTCCATTTGTTCAACACATTCAGGTACAAGAGTACATTAAAGATGGCTAACAAGTATGGATTACAACACATTACAGTGATCTCTGCAGGAAAAGCATTCACTTATTTCCAATTGTGCATTATCTATATAGTTGCTTATTACTTTTCCGTAAGGCTGTATCTCATGGATGATTTCGATCCCGCCTTCTTAGCGGTGGTAAGTAAAATTATAATAACATTTTTTTTCATATCGGTTACTTTCAATTAAACCCGATTCATATCAAGCATAAGTTATATAAAAAAAATATATATTAAGAGTTGGAAGGTAGTATTAATTAATTTAAATCAACCGCAAAACTTCACAGAAAACAGGCATCCAGTTGCTGGAATAGGTTGCAGCAAGCATTATATAAAATGGAGTGCTCCTGGTCCTGCTAGGCAAGATACAGTATATTTTATTGCACCATCATCAAATACCACTTATCAGCTTGAGTTCCATCCAACTAGCTAGCAGTGATGGATGGATCCCTCTATTGTCTATCAATTCCATCGGACTCTGTTGGATACTAAATGAAAGTATTGCTACGTATCAAAAAGGAGTTTTGATAGATTTTTATAACGGGATGCCACTGGTAATTATCGAAGATAATTATCCAGAATTAATTAATAAAATATTAACTAACAAATTATGTCATTTGACATATTGGTCCTTGATTAATTTATTGGATTACTTCTCACAAAGGCTTGTTGTGTGTTTATCTGTTCTCTAATTACCAACCATTACCTGTGCTTATAATGAAAGAAATAGGTGGCATGATTAAAATAACTTTTATGTACAAATTATATTTATTTACGAGTGATGAGAAAGAATGTTATATACATTATATTTACAAAAATTAATGAACTATACAATTGGTTGTGAAGGCATGATTCAGATGGATGGAATTTAAAATTACATTGCCATTAAATATTTAAACATCTTTAAAAAGGAATTGTTGGGAATTACTTATCTAATATGGCATGGCTGCATCTGCAAAGTCCATGGGTCATGTTTCAGTCCTCCAGCTAGAAGAAAACATCAGGGACCTCCTCAGGGCCGGGCAGTCCATCCGACATCTCCTCTATGCTGGGCAGTGGCGTAGGCTCAAAAGCCTCTCCTCATCCAGCTGTCCTCGCTTCCTTCCCAGCTTGAAGTCTCCTCAGCTCAGTCCCAAGAAGACGTGTCTTCAGCTCCGTTCCAAGAAGAAGTGCCTCAGTCCAAGTTCTATATTTTTCACCTTTCTTCATCCCCTCTCTTTTGGTAGGGGCAAGAATTGTTCCCATTGGTTCAATTTTTGTAACAGAAGGGATGACCACACCCCCAGAGATATGTTGAACACACCCCTTTTAGCAGGTACACGACCGTTTCTTCCTATGCTTAAGAGTTAAAAGCTTTTTGATCCTCTTTAAACGGTCCTTTGGTGTTTTTGGCCGACATGTGTCGTCAAGTACTTCTATTGCTAGTGGGTGTGCTAAGACTATTTTCAAGAGTGCTAAAAGGTTATCTCAGGGTATCAGGTATCCCGACCACTATCTAAGTAACCACTTACAAAAGGTTGGGTCGGGGGTTTCAGGTACCCGCCCAGGTGTTAGAAATTATTTTTAAATGTTATTAATTATCATTAGGCTATGTTCAATACATAGCAGTATGCATTGAAAGTGATGGGGATGCCGGAAATTCACAAGCAGTGAAAAAGAAACTAAAGGTTGATTATTCTGAAATGAGTGGGAAAAATCACCACATCCATCTCCTTAAGTCCTTCCGTGAACCAACTAACTCTATTTTTAACCTAATTTGACTGGACGACCAGCATGACTTCTGATTTTGTTGCCAAATCTAAAACAAATCGGCCCATTAATCTAGAAAGAAAGACACAGTGGATTCAAATTACCTTGAAATATAAAAGCTCAAATTTTAAGGAGGCCAACTTTTCTAATAAACAAATAAGTTCAATTCATTTAAGGAATAACTTGTTGGAAAACTTAGTTACCCATTAGTTAGTTCCTTCAAATACCAAAAATTTAGTTTTTCTCCAATTTTGTTTTTGTTGATATTTTGGCCATCACAGCCTAGGAAAAAGTAGTGAATGGGTGAATAAATTTATCTAAACATTGTTCAATGAGTGGTTGTGTTGTGAAATGAAAAAAAGCAAATAAGCATAGCGGAAAAAAAAAGCCATGTGGTATATAATTTTTTAACTTGTACTTTCCTCAAAAAAATGTTGTGGTTTTCTATGATGTAGAATAATGAATCACTTACTATCCAATTTAACTTAAAAATCAAGAAGTTTATGACCATAGCCATAGACCAAAATAATCATAAATTGATGTATTTTCTTATCTAATCTTTTAGATTTTAACAGTACAAATTAATTCATTGTACAACTGTTCATACATGCTGAGTACTGTTTCTGATATCTACATGGTGTTGGATTCAGTACAGAGGGTGACAAACTTCCTCGACACAGAAACTAGCTATAGCAAATCTATGGAACATGGCATCGAACCTAACACATTTAAGGCTGACATCTCTTTCAGAAATGTTCAGTTCTCCTATCCAACAAACTTATACACAAAGGTATATATACAAATCCCAGTGTAGCTATTAGAAAAAACTATTATTTTAAATTTCATTTCTTTTAAGATAATAAAATCAAAATACTTAAATTTGAAAATTTAGGTGCTTCATGATTTAACATTGGACATTGAGCCTGGTAAAGTCACAGCGGTTGTAGGAACTAGCGGTACTGGCAAAAGTACAATTGTAAGCCTGATTTCGCGCCTCTATGATCCTATTGCTGGACAGGTATGTTTTAAAAATTTTAATGCAAAAGTACAGATATGAGATTTGCTTTTCAAAACAATTAATAGTTACCTTTTGGTCAGATCCTTATTGGGGGAGTGGATATAAAAAAACTGAATGTCAGTTGGCTAAGAAATCAAATTGGTGTTGTAACACAGGAACCTACTCTATTCGATACTTCGATAGAGGAGAACATCAGGTATGGAAAAACTACAGCAACTTTAGAAGAGATCATCGAAGCAGCAAAAATTTCAAATGCTCATGGTTTTATAGAGAAACTACCTTCGGTAAGTTTGATATTAAAATTATGATCATACAACCACTAACAACTACATAATTTTATTTTGATTTTACTAAGTTAAAGTTTGTGTAAATTATATTTACAACATGAAAGTTCTTAATACTTAAGTGATTATAGGTATATATATATATATATATATATATATATATATATATAATATATATATATATATATATATATATATATATATATATATATATATATATATATATATATATATTATATATATATATATATATATATATATATATATAATATATATATATATATATATATATATATATATATATATATATATATATATATATATATATATATATATATATAATTAACCATGAAATATGTATTTTTAATTTTAATTTTGACTAAAGAAATTTATATGTAGAAAAACATTTACCTTCTGGTATAAAGGGATTATTTAGTTCTTGGTTTACCGATTTTTATTAAATTCTACTTGGTTTACAAACATCAGTTCAATTTTGAAATATCTTAATTCATACATATATTTTACATCCTATAAAAGCAACAATTATAAGTCAATTTGTGATAAGGAAAGAAAAATATGGGCAGGATTCAGTGGTGCCATTAAAAACGAATATTTGTTGAATCAAACTTGTTATGGGATGGTTGGAAACATCAAGGAATAAAAACAGCATATTCCCATACATCTGAATGAATGCCCGTCTTATCCTCTTCCTCATCCACTCAGTCCCTTTTCCTCAATTGAACAAGCCCTGTCGAAGCCTTCTAATCACACATAACTCTACATCACTATCCATTTTCTGGGGTCAAGAAATGAAATGTAGCCGATTCAGATGGGAATCAATAACATTCAAAACCGGACACTCTGGAACCCACGACCCAACGTGCTTGCCCATCCTCGAACTATATGGTAAAGCACCGATCTTAACTGCCAAGGACCTGTTGGGAGAGTTCGAAAGCAGTGAAGTAATTAATGATGATTAAGGCTAAGATTTTAAATGAGAAGTATCAGTTATGAATTAGAGGAAGTAATAAATCATAATCTAAATAAAAGGAAGTAAACACATTGTCCTCACTTAACTATTCTCCAAATTCTATTTATAGCATAATTATAAGATCTTGGTCCATTCGTTAAAGTTGAATAACACTAGTCAAATAGTACCTTTAGTGTATTTGAAAGGTGATAAGATAAATAAAATAAAACCTAGAAATTGTAAACGGAATTGGGTAAAGTAGATAAAAGAATATAAGAAAACAGTAGCTTACATTATATCCAGATGTTCTGCTCATATCGTTTTTGTTTCTATAATTATGGAATTAATACTGTGAGTTGGTAGATAAGGACAGTTAATGATAGGGTAGTAGTAACCGGTTATAAGTATGCATATGGATGTAACTCAGCCACGAGGTTCTTAATGATGGTGGGCTTTTCTAAAATTTTTAAACAACGTATATGGTGTTCGTTGACAAGAACCGACAACTCTTAAGAACTGATGAAAAGATAGGTAAAAGAACTACTACACGATTCATGAAATAACATCTTATTCGTTTTCGGTTCTGTTATTTATTAGTAGGTAAAATAACAATAAGGAAAAATAAATGAATGGATGAATGTATAATTTGTCAATTGATATTTAATATTACATAAGTATTTATTTTAACATAACTAAAAGAACAAGTTGTACAAAGTGGTTATTTTCCAAGTCAGTGTGATGTAAAGGGAAGGTATAAACATTTGGGCAAATATTCAAATTTAATATTAAGTCCGATAGATATATATATTTTTATTGCTTTCAAGCTCATAAACTTACAGCAATGAGTAGGCTCTGCCATCCATGTACATCATACATTGTTTACAATACTTATACATGAATAAAAAAGCACAACATGTCAAAACAAGAATAAATATAAATATTATTTGTTAAATAATTATTTTAACATTAAAAATAACTAATTGTTCATTCTTCCCAGAAAATACATAAAAACAAAAACAACTAGAGAGATACTAAATAAATCAAACTAATTATTTTTTCTCTTAATTATTTTTAACTAAGAAGTATCCTTGCTTGAATAAATTTCGGGGATTTTTTCTGAGTATTTTTCAACTTCTCTCCATCTTCTATGCTTAGTACAAAGATTAGTTTCTCAGGTCTCCCTGGCTGTTCCTCATACAAGTTCACAAGAAATTGGATGAGTTACTTCAACAATAAATTCTTGTCTGGACTTCAAACCATTGCTTTGATGATAACCCACATGTTTGAGTTAAAACGTCGGCATACTCAATAACCATAATTTTTTTACTAGACATCCTGAACATTATTCAACCTTACAATTTCAACAGTCCACTATATATCCATATCTAAAACACTAGTTAATTTTTTTTGTCGTAACACCTACAAATATGCTTAAGTTAAGCAGTAACTATGATATATTTGTTTGTTTATATCTAGCGTTCATTAATAATAACATCTAGAAACTACAGAAAAGTCTTTAAAAAAAATGTTTCATTATTATCATGATGAGCTGAGAATCTTAGCATTTTCTCTACCACTCCTAATTCTAAACATCAAAATTCTTCGTTTGTCTTCCACGACTGTTGCTGCTGATGTTTAAAAGACCATGGCGAGTTGAAATAGGTGTTTAAACAATTTTTAAACGTAACTTATTGGCTGTCTATATTCTGACCCAAAGCGGTTAGTCAATAAGGTAATCAAATCAATCCGAAAAGTTCAAGAAACATTGTGATATATTATCGAATTTGTACAAAAAATATTTATTTTTAATACAAACTGCAGATCAATAAAGTTTATTTTGGTTACGAATTCTTCTTGTCAATTAATTAAATTCTTTCCACCAAGTGAAAAACACAAAGAAGATAGGAGGAGACTAAATGCTCTGTGGTAACAGAACTGCTTTTAAAGGAAAGAAAAAAATGAAACAAGTAAGAAATCAATAGATGCAGTATATAAATTTATTAAAGAAATGAAAATGTTAATAAATGTCAATAAAAGAATAAAATAATTAATATAAAAGAAAACACAAAGATTTAGTTACATAAAACAATTAAAATAGACAGTTCTGTGAGAAAGAGTTAAAAGATATAAAACTAAAATCAACACAAAAATCAAAGAAAGACTTCTAATAGTAAAATAAAGACTGATCATAAATAAATAAACGTTATGCAATAATGGTAATTAAACTATAAATGCTTGAAAATAAAGAAAGATGAAATTAAGTACATATATGAGGACAGATGATATAACTTGTACATACGTGACAATATATGGTGATTGCGATCGATAAATAACGATGATGATTGAAATAAAAGTTTAAATACTAATTAGATTTTAACAAATAGTATTTTAATCACAAATTCACAATGAGTGAACTTGGTAAGCGCTGATGAATGACATGGTTACAATTTAAGGTAACCTTCACAAGTAAACATTCCCAACAGTGTTGCCGCGCGCTCTGTGACAAAACCTCGTACTGAAGCCTCGTACATCCTCGTACGCTTGGCTCATTCATAAATCGTACTATTGTAAGCCCAGTGTTATTGTTTTTTTATAGTAAAATTAGATCTGAGCTTTATTTTTACCTCTATTCATATATTTTAAAGCCTTTTTACATTACTTTTTTTTTTTTTTTAAGTTAATGGGTCAATAAGTAAAATTCGCTTAATAAAATATATAAAACAGCTTATATATTTTTATTAGAAACTACTGGACACTTTATATAAAAATTGAAACAGCAAAATAAACTTATTATAGTACTCCTCATCAGTATCCATTAGTAGATCCATGATTTAATTTGGGGGAGGACTAATTTTTTTTTCTTTTTTGTAAAAACAAAACAACTACTTTTATGAAACTACGTTAGTGGTTCTGGAAGGCCAATAAAAATTAATTATGGGGCATTGATGCTTTTAGAGATATCCATTATGATATAAAAAATGAATAGATTGTGATTGTTGTTGTGATTCAGTATGTGGACCACTAAAACATACTTTTTTCCCATTATTTATGATGGTTCCATTATGAATACTAATTCAATTTTCAATTAATTACTTTCCTCGATTAAAAATCGAAAATATTTTTTTTAAATTACAGTAATAATTTTTTTTTTTTAATTTAATTTATTTAGAATATATTTACAATTGCAGTTTTATGAAGGAAATAATGGTTATACTTTCTCGTATTTTATTTTATGCACGATAAAAATGACAGTAAAAATTTCTTTTTAATTTTCCTTTACAACACATTTTAAAAAATATATATTTACAAAAAAAAGTTTATGAAGGAAATAATGGATATAGTTTCTTATATTTTATTTCATACTGGATAAAATCTAAAAAAAAAAATTCTAGAAAATTAAAAAAAAAAACATATTCACAGTAATGATTTTATGAATGCAATAATAATCATACTCTAATTAAAGAAGATATAATTCCAATTTATTTGTCTAGAAAGCAACAGAAGTTCAGTATTTCATATTAATATAAATATTACTACAGTAAAAATAATTCTATACTTCATTCATAAAAATATAACCTTGCATTGCATACGTCAGCAAAATTATGTACGAGGTACGAGGCTGGTCTATCCTCGTACCTCGTACATTACGTCATAACCTCGTACAAATACGAGGATCCTCATACAAACGGCAACACTGATTCCCAACAGGTAAGTGCAGTAATTTTCTGTTCCTTCTTTCATCAATTTAGATGTTCAAAATTTTAATATTCGTTTAGTCACTTCACTAGATACATTGATATTAATGTCAATATAAATACAATGAAAAATATATATATATTTTTTATTAATGAAAAGAAAGACAGGAAGGAAGGTGAGTTGAGGAATTTTGTTGGTAGCAAGTTCTGTTGGAGTGGCATACCATGATTCCTAAACACAGCGATGAGCTCATTGGATTGTGGATTAGTAATCCATCAGTTCATTCTTAAACCCATCGATGGAATTTAGGGAATCACTTTATTCATTGATTTAATCACCAATTTAGTTACCAATTTAATCACCAAGTATTCCATTGGCTTTTGGGGTCGATGGATCCGCTAGACGTAACATCATGGTTGTTATTTCTCAATTTATTTTACATATTTATATTTATTTTAGTTTCTATATACATTTTTGTTTTAAGTGAAAACTTGTTTAGGTGCGCTTAGCACTTTATTTTGAGGGTATTGAATGAGACTGAGTCGTTGCGCTCGGCAATGCAGCGCTCATTCGGGAAAAGTCGGCCCGAGTCGACTAAGTATTGCATTTGTTTTAAAATATCTCAGAAACTAAAAATCGGAACATCCCACTGTAAGCAAGGGAAATGTTCAGCATTTTATTCTCTATGTAACGAGCTATTATTTAAAATTCTATTTTGACGTGATATCGAATTAGAGAGTCGAAAAGGGAAAAAAAGTAACAATACTGCTTAATTGTCTTATAATAATTGATGGCTGACAATATAATTGTATATTAATGAGAGGAATAAATACTGAATAGTCCGTGGTACAGACCCTTTTTTATCGAATTATTAACATACGCCTGAAACATCGTAAATAGCTTCATCTCATCGTAATCTACAACTATTTTATTTACGAAAACTCTTGGAATGGGGACATTTTCAAATTGGAGGGGTGTAAACTTTGTCTATTTAATTAGGTACTAAAAACTCACCAGAACTGTCCAACACATCATCCAAGACTCCCCAGTATTTAAGAATGTAAGGAAAATTCTCGATATGGCTCAGAGCCTAAAAGAAAACCTCAGTGACAACGGAAACGCCGAGGAAAAAACCTTACAATTTTTAAAAATAATAAAGTTCTACAATAGAGTATAAATATGAATTGCTGCCAATGACCCTTCAGGGTATAGGCAAGAATAAAAACAAATAAATAAATAAATAAAAATCAATACACATTTGCTTTCTACTTGGATCGCAAGATAATTTGATCACAAAAACGAAAAAAATATGTGGCCTTAAAAAATATTGGGCCGTTTGGTGTGACCTACACCCCCAAATTTTCAAAACAACGCGATTATATAAGACAAACGGCACGATATTTCTGTAGGCTACCTTTTTTATCGATTTTGTCATCAAATTATGTTATGATTCAAGTAGAAATGAAATGGATATTTACGAATTTTTATGATCTAATTAAATAGACAAAGTTTGCCCCCTCCAGATTGAAAACGTCCTAATTCCAAGATTTTTCGTGAATAAAATAGTTATAGGTTACAATGAGATGAAACTATTTACGAAGTTTTAGGCGGATGTTAATAATTCAATAAACTGGTGTCTGTACCACGAACTATTGAGCATTTATTCCTCTTATTAATATACAATTATTTATATTTCATATTATTAATCCTGCCTTATTGATGTTTTCACTTCTATTGTGTGGTCCTAAGCGCACACCATAGTTGTTTTTTTGAAACTCGACAAATCTGTAGTCTCCTTACATAATTTTTATTTTTCATATCTTTTGGAATATTCCAATGTGTTAACAGTCTACTAGAATCCAATGAGTACCCTGATCTTTGTTGAAATTATTACTGAGTTTAAGAACTTGCCCTTCCTTTCTTGAAAATATATCACAATACATTATAAAATACATTCAGAATTGAAATAAGTATTAATTTAAATAATTGTATTGTAAATATATTATAAAAATCACATATTATAAAAAATATTATGAAATTTCAGATCTTTAAACATCAAGATACTTAAGTGTTAAAGTAAAATGAATTTTTATATTTTTTATATTTTTATTCTTAGGGTTATGCTTCAATTGTTGGGGAAAGAGGAACAAAACTTTCTGGAGGTCAGAAACAGAGGATTGCCATTGCAAGGGCCATCGTCAGGAAGCCCAAACTGCTCCTTCTTGACGAAGCCACTTCTGCGCTGGATACTCATTCAGAAGGCATTGTACAAGAAGCCCTGGATAATGCTATGCGTGGGAGGACAACGGTGATCGTTGCTCACAGAATGTCGACAGTAAAGAAGGCTGATGTTATATATGCCATGAAAGTAATTCATTCCTTTGGGTTTTATCATTTCAAGTATATATAAATATATATTATGTTATTATATTACTATAGAATATTATGTTATATAAAGAAATACTCTTTAGGAAGGACGTGTCGTAGAAAAGGGCACACATAGTGAGCTGATGGAACTTGGAGGATATTATTACTCTTTAGCCATGATTCAAGAACTTGAAGAAAAGGACAAAGTTGTTACAATAAAGTAAGAAAGTAATATTTACTTGTTTTTCTAGAACAAGCAACAAAAATCGATTTAATTTTTGAACGATTTGAAGCAAACGAAACCGTGTTCAAAGGCTATAATTTTTGGGAGAGGGAATGGTCGTCCCATTTAACTTCGGAACCCTCCACCAAAATCAACCTGTTCACACTAGTTACTCATTGTTGTAATAGGTGAGCAAAGAGGCGAAGCTTCGCATCTTTAAATCTGTCTTCCTCCCGGTCTTGTTATACGGAGCTGGGAGCGGGTACTCTTGGACAAGAATGCCTCACGAGTGACGTCAGCAGAAATTTCAGAAGAGTTTTTGGAAAGACGAGACGAGACTGAATGGGGAACAGGACAGTAGGAGATACCCTTGGAGTTAAACCTGTTAGGGATGCCATTGAGGTACGCCAGCTCAAGTGGACGCGTGCCGAAGGTGGACCGAGAGTACTCCACGCTTAACAGCACAGAGTGTTACGGTCTTTAATTTAGAAAAATCGTTTCCGTAACAAACTTGCCGGATGCTCAGTGGAGACGGCAAGGTTCGGAAAAAAAAAATAATAATAATTATCTAACAGGCGCCACACTATTTAATTGGTTGAATTTGGAAAATATCGAAAAACATTAAAAAAAAAAATTTAATTAAAAAAAAAATAACTAAAAAAAAAAATATATAGGATGCGGAGTGAGCTACGAGCTCGGAACCTATGGGTTTAAAAATATATGTTAATTAACCTCACAACCTATCGAACCTTCTTACTTGGTTAACAATGACTTTCCCTAATCCCTCGAATAGGGTTTTACATTTCCTTGTTAAACCTTTAAAAAAAAGAATATAATATACATAAAACGTGAAAATAAACAGAAGAAAAAAAAAGAAGACAATAAAACTGGCTATTATTAATACTAATGATATATTTACTTATTTCTATTGATTTAAATAACTGTTAAAGGAAATAAAAATTATGAACAAGAAATTAGATTTATAAGAAAACAAAGAAAATACAATTAACTTTAATTATCAACAAAAAGAATATACAATTAGTATAGAACTAAACATTAACTTAGACTATACAATAAACCAATTACAAACATTTAAAAAAAATAGATAGGAAATAAAAACTTATATATACATATTTACAAGATCTCAATGCCGAACTTTGTCAAATTGGCACATTGAATTATCTGAGGAAGCGAGAACTTATTCCAGCTAGCGTCGTCAATGTCTCCCCAATTTATCTCCTCAAGTTGTGAAAATGTTCATTCGCCAATTTGTAAGATCGAGCGGCACTCGTCGCTGATAATCACAGCTCCATGAATAGTGAATAAAATCCGGTTTACAACGTAAAACTAAAGCATTTTACACACAAAATCCTTAGCTTGCCTCAACACTCGCGAGGTTCCGCCATCTCTCTCTAAACTGTCTTTTGTTTTTCCTCGCAATCAGCTGTTGGTTATTCCAATCTGAAATAAAATGAATACTTTAAACTAAGACTTATTATCAAAACTAATACTAATTAATTAATTTTATCTAACCCTCTTCGAGGTAATAAAAAACTAACAATTATTTTACGAACTAATTTTTTTTTTGTATTTTATTTTTCGCCACAAAAGGAGCTAAAGAAAGAAGAAGAAGTAATAAATAAAACATATGTAGAAAATAAAATACGCTGTATCATCGCTAATATTGGTTTCAGTACTTGTCTTAGTATGAAGATCCTGGCTTAGTGTGCACCTTCCTCTTCTGAATCCAGTTTGGTGGTTGCCTCTTATGTTTTTGTAATACGTATATATATACGTTTTAGACCTTTAAACAGTTATTATTTTGTGGGCAAACGGAAAGAGCGCTGTCCCTTTTTAACTACTAAACTCACACATCAAACGTTTCTTTAGAATAGGACATATTAGGCCTGTATTCCAAGCCTATGGTATTCTCCTTCTCCCACTTTTTTTTTAATTAGTTGTAATAACTTAAGAATACAGTAAGAAATTAAGACTTCTCCCTGATCTTTAAAAGCTTCTGATAATAAAGAGAAGAATAGTTGGGATGATCAGTCAAACAAGAAGGCAAAAATAAATGATAATATTTATTGTGACATTTGCCGACGTTTCGACCTGAAGTTCAGGCCTTCATCAGGGCTAAGAAAAGAACCAGATAACAAGGTGTGAGAAACATAAGTAGTGTAGGTAAAAAAATTAAAGTAAAATGAAGTTGTTAGAATAATGCCAATAGTAAGAACTATAAGATAAATAATAATAACCGTTACAAAGTGTGGAATGATGAAGTAGGCATAAAAAAAAAAGGGTGACATAAGTGTTAATAGGAATCTTAGAATAAAATGTAAAACAGAAAAAAGGAATATGAAGTTATATAAGATATGAAAATAAATAGCAAAATTAAGACATTGAGAATAGAGTAGTTAATAATAATAATAATAATAATGCTTTATTTATTCTGGGACGAGTCCCTTTAGAAATATACATAGAGACAAAAATGTGGGCTAAGGGGCCTCAGAGATATATAATGAAGAATATAGTTTGATTAAATAGTAAAAAAAAAAATAGATAAATGAAAAAAAAAATAATAAGAGAAATTATAAGTTACTATCTAATTTACATCAATTAATAATAAAAAGTAAAGAATTAAAAATAAACATGAAGTAAAAAAAATAAAGAACGATCTAATAATTTATATACATATTTAGAGTAGTAACTATTTACAATTTTATGATGACTGGATGGATAAGAAATGATTAAACAGTTGGGATTTAAAGGTAGGAAGGGTTTTGGATTGACGGATGTTGGGAGGGTTGGAGTTCCATAGGGAAGAGGATTGAATAATAAAGGATTTATTGAAAGCAGCGGTTCGGTGGGAAATTATATATAAATCTGAAGACCGGGAACGGGTATTGCGGGAGTGGACAGAGGATTTAAATTGAAGGAGCTCGGCGATGTATGAAGGACGGCGGGAGTGAATTACTTGGAAGAGGAAGGATGCCAGGAAATACTTATGGCGGTAGGAAGGATAAAGCCACTTCAACACCTCATTTCATAGTTAGATAGAAAATTGAGATATTGTAAAGTCCATCAAGATGTACAGACAATGTATAATATAATAAAGAGTTAAAACAAAGAAACGGAATGAAAGGAAGGAGGGAAGAAACTGAGAAAGCTGAAATGAGAAAGAGATAAAAGAAAAAACTACCTGTCTCAACCAGTGTTTAACGGTTATTATTATTTATATTTATTATTATTTATCTATTAGTTCTTACTATTGTCATTATCCTAACAACTTTATTTTACTTTAATTTTTTTACCTAAACTACTTATGTTTCTCATACCTTGTTATATGGTTCTTTTCTTAGTCCTGATTAAGGCCTGAACTTCAGGTCGAAACGTCGGCAAATGTCAAAATAAATATTATCATTTAATTTTTCCTTCTTATTTGACTGATCACCCCAACTATTCTTCTCTTCATTATTCACAACAGCCAACCATTTTACCCACAATTAGGCTTCTGATAATAGGTTATCTATTCCTGCGGCATTTATTGTTTGTTTTTATTCCAATTACAATACAGCAACAAATTATCATCTAGAAGATTTTCATTGTTATATTTAAAAATTTCAACATTTAACAGACAATTTTTTTTTTGTTATAATTATTAATACTCTTACTTTCTTTATATAGTCACAAAGATGTATCTAGAGAGGAATCGGTTGAAGAAACTATACCATTTGTTGAGGAAAATATGGAGGTAGCATATTTTTTCATTAATTATCAAACTGCAACTGTTGAAGATACATAGCATTTTTTTATTTTATTTTTTTTTCTTCCTAGTTTTCACAGGATAAGAAAAAACTGCGACTGACAACGAAAAACATTAAAATGATGTTAGTATCGTTCTTCGCCATTCTGTTCGCTACCATTACGTCAACATTTCTTTCCATTTTTCACTACATATTTAGTTTGTTATGTCAGGTAATTGTTTTTAGTTCTTTTATTCTTGTTTAAATTTTTAATAAAGTTTAACAGGTCATCGTGTTTTTAGTCATTCACGTACGCCAGAGATGAAATAATGCATGTAGCAATGGTTGATATCGGTTATCTCTTTGGACTGGCCGTAATTACATTCTTCTCAGTGATTTTTTCTGTAAGTACATACATTTTTTCAATTTTTGTTATTTAAATAATTAAATATTAATTAATTCTAGCGGTAGTTTAATAAATATCGCACACAAATGTTAGGAGGCCGCAGTTACATTACGGAGGCCTTATGTGACGACAAATAAAATACAAAAAAAAAAATTATTTCGTAAAGTAATATTTTTTTATTATCTCGAAGAGGGTTGAATAAAATTAAGTAATTAGTACTAGTTTTAATAATAAATATTAGTTTACAATAAGTATTAGTTTTAAGTATTAATTTTATTTCGGATTGTAAAGGGGACCCTACACGGTAATTCATGAATGAACGTCACAAGAAGTTCCAAGATTGTCCGCTATCGCTTTGATCATGAAGACGCTTACACGTTCAATCATTACTGATCATTACTTATCGTTCCTGATACCAATTTAGTGCAATTGTAAACAAAGAAACAGCATAGATATGCCTATTTGGACATTGTCATTTATAATATTGCGCATCAAGAGAAAAACGGAGATATAACAATTACTTCCTAGTGCCTGAAATTCGTTTAGACCAAAGTTAGAAAAATATAAGTCAACTACATACAAAAATCTAGGAAAAGTATTGCGAAAATAATCAATTTGTTAAGAAAAATGGAAAAATTAATGGCAAATAAACACAATAGTTAAAGATTTTTTTTTCTATAAGTATATTGTGAAGTTTCCACTTTTTTTTCTCTCCAATTTATTGCCTACTTGACTATTTAAAGAAAAAATAGTTGAAAATGGTTAATAATAATATAGACTAGGGATATAAACAACTATTTACTTTTATGAAATTATTTACTTAAACGAGACCTAGGTAAACTAACCTATCTCGTAGTAAGGTTAGTCTCAAAGAAAATTGTTTTGACAAAAGTTAGTAAAATATAAGTCTACTACTTACAAAAATTAAGGAAAGGTATTGCAAAAATAATAAATTTGTTGAGGAAAATGGGAAAAGAACTGATTAATATAAACAACGTTAAAGTTTTTTATTTTCCTAAAGTAAATTGTGAAGTTTCCTCATTTTTTTTTTTTAATTTGTTGCCCACTTGACTATTTAAAAGAAATAGTTGAAGATGGTTTTAAATTATAAACAAGGGATATAAAAAATTATTTAACTATTTACATATAATGAAAATCAGAAATTTATAATGGTTGTGAGAATTAGGTAACCTAACCTATCCAGCAGTATGGTTAGCCCCCCCACTACTTTTAACTCAGTCCCCCCTCCACTTCTCGTGAATGAACCTTTGATTTCCGGATGTCCGCAGCGCACCTCCATCAGTACTTCATTCACTACCTTACACGACAATTCGGAACGTCATTAGTGCAATTCCGATTGACAGTGCAGGGTCCCCTTAATAGCTAACGTATGATTGGGGAGAAAAAAAGACAGTTTTGGATATAAATGGCGGAACTTCGCGAGTGTAGAAGGACGCTAAGGAATTGTGTGTGAAATACTTTGGTTTTACGGTGTACGCCGGATTTTCCTTATTCCCCAACTGGAACCTGTGATTGTCAGCGATTTTTGCCGCTTGATTTTACAAGTTGGTGAATGAACATTTTAACAGCTTAATGAGATGGATTGCGTAGAGAGACCCTGATGACGCTAGCTGGAATAAGTTCCCGCTTCCTTAGATAACTCAATGTGTCAATTGGACAAAGTTCACTATTGAGATTTTTTTAATATATATATATATATATATATATATATGTTTTTTCCATCTATTTTTATTTACAAACATTTGTAATTAGGGTATTGTACAGTTGTTGGTTAATGTTTAGTTCTATAATCTTTTCATATACTTTTCTTTGATAATTTAATTTTATTGTATTTTTTTTTTTGTTTTCATATAAATCTAATTCTTGTTCATAATTTTCATTTCCTTTAACTGTTATTTAAGTCAATATTAATGATAGACAACTTTTTTTTCTTCAGTGTTTATTTTCAGGTTTTATGTATATATTATATTGTTTTGTTTTTTAAGTTGTAATAAGGAATCGGAAAATCCTATTCGAGGGATTAGAGAAAATCAATATTAACCAAATAAGTTCCATAGGTTACAAGGTTAATTAACATACGTTTTTAAACCCATATGTTTACATGTAACATATGTTTCGACCTCGCTCATCGTCAAAATTTTTTTTTTTATTAAATATATTAATTTATTTTGGTTTTCACTATTTTCCAAAAATTAACAAATTAAATAACATGGCGCCTGTTAGATAATTAGCAATATTTAATTGACTTAATTATTTCCTTCTTTCTTTTCCAAACCCTTTCGTCTCTATTGAGCGTCTGGCAAGTTTTTTGCGGAAACTATTTTTCTAAATTAAATACTGTAACTATGGTGTAGATAGTTCAATAATGTAGACAGATATTTTGCAACAGTCATGAGACAAAATGCTACACAAATAAGTATATAGATTGTATTTATCGTCTCTCCTTAGTATAACTGCTGATAATGTATCAGTTTTTCATGATGTTTTATTTAGTATTAGTGTTTTCATTACAGAAATATTATATTAACTTACCGTAACTTTGTAATTTAACATTATATATTACCTTCAAGGATATGTTTTCAACTATTGCAACTCAAATATGGTTGGGAAAACTGCAGAAAAAAGCTTTCAATAAAATAGTTTCTATTGACATAAGTTGGTTCGACTGGAGAGGAAACTCTCCCAACGAATGCCTTGAAATATTGACGAACACCCCTTCCCTTATCGAATCAGTAAGTACTACAATAGAACATTATTTTTATTTACAGATAGATTAAGATAATCTTTAACAGTCATTTTAAAATTTTCCTTTTATTGAAGAGCCATTCACGAAAATAAATTAATCCTGTGAAAATTTTAAAAGTATTTCAAAAATATTCTTATGAACAAAACCTCTTCTGGAATCACCATATTTCTTATATCTCTCGCCGGAAAATTTCCATCCTCATACTATTCCATCGCTTCCGCCATCTCCTTCCTCAACATACGCGTTGACTCCTAGTTTCCTCTCTCATTTCCCCCCACTTTGACTATAACTGTGTGGTGTATGATGGTCTCTCTGTGTGGAACTCCGAGATAGACTGAAAAGACTAATGAACAGCTGCGTAAGATTTGTGATCGGAGCCCCAAGATACTCCCATGTCTCTCAACACTACGCTGAGTTAAAGTGGCTCTTCCCCTCCTTCCGAATACAATATTTCCTAGGTACGTTCCTCTACCAAATCTTCAACCATCGTCCTTCTTACGCCTATAAACTTCTCCAGTTCAAATCCTCAGTCCATTCCCTGTCCACAAGATCTCGGCCTTCTAACCTTTACATGCCTTCTCACAGATCTGCCTCATTCCAAAACTCCTTTATTGCTCGCTCTGTAAATTTCTGGAATTCCCTTCCTATCAAAATTCGACATTCCTCATTAACAGTCAGACAGCTGCTAACCATTCGACAACATACATTTATTTCATGTCATTCATTGTCAAACATCAATGATAAATGAGTAAATAATGTATTTACACATTAATCAGGCACTTTATATTGTCAGATTCAGCTTTCTGTTTTCTCAATAGAAGCACAAAGCTTATTTTAATGAAGAATATAATATATTTTTATTTTTTAATTCTTTATTGTTTTCTTAAAAGTGTATAGTGGTCTATCATTGCAAACAGCTTTAAGTGTCTTTCCACACTTTACGTCTTAGCTTTAGCTTTAAGTCTTTTTTTCGATTGATTTTATTTTGGGCAGATGTAATCTTTTAATTTTGTTATTCTCAAGGGAGTGTGTCCCAGTTATTTTCTATCTATCTATCTATCTGGTGCCCACATCACACAAGTTTCACTTACTGCTTTACTATTAATTAGAATTATTTTCTGCCAATGTCGGACTATTAATAGGTGTTTTAAATGTATTTTTAGCAGAGCTAAACTTCAAACCTTCCAGCTAACCTGTAACAACTCATTAAGGCTACTAAAATATCACAAACCCTATTAACTATATCGACGGTAAGCAAGGAAACCTCGTAACTGCATTTGTTTTTGTAAACCACATAACTCCAATCTCTGACTTATATCTCTATGCCTAGAGAATATTAAAAGTACATCTATATCTTAAACCCAAGTATAAATTATTATAGATTGTACTACTATTAGTTCTTAAACTCTTATTTTTCCATGATAGAGTTTACTAAAATAGAGTTACGAGATCAAGCATTGCCTATCGTTAGGTCAAAAGTTGTCATACCAATTGTAAGGGAATAATATGATTCCACACAGAAGAAATACGTCAAATTATTCCCTAATTAAATTTTCTAAAATGTTACATGATGATGTTTTGAAATTGACTGACGGTAGATATCTAATTATATAACTTTATGCAATAAATTTTCATTTTTATAGCATAATAATGCATGGAAAATATATTTTATTTATTATTGAAAAAAAGTCTTGCCAAAATGGGTTTAGTCTGTACTAATTCAGAAGGCTTGACAAGTCATAATAATTTCCGTTTTTCAAATATCTTGGCTAAATAGAAAGATTATCAGAGTTTTGGGCGTTTTTATGCCTTTTTCAACAACTGTGCGTCGGCACAACCAACTAAGGAGTCAATATTAATCATCAATATTATCAACACATCGGTTATTAAACATTACTTTACATTACATTCGTACACCATATACTTTAACAAGACAAGTGATTTTGTAGTTTCACTAGCTCCTGCAGCTATACTGATAATCATATTAGTATTTATATTTTAGCGTTGACTTTCAATAGAATGCACTGTCTGCTAGGCTCAATAACCAAAATATTGAATAAAGAAAATACACTAGGCGTATAATTAAGGATAAGGCCTGTAACCGTTGTGGTGCTAAGGGTTTGTGCCGCCGATATTTATTTAAAATACAGATGTTATCATTTAAATTGTTACATTGATATATATATATATATATATATATATATATATATATATATATATATATATATATATATATATATATATATATATATATATATATATATATACATATATATATTATTAATATTAAAATTATTGTTGAGGTGACTGGAGATAGGGCAGCTCATGTTTTAATCTTCGTGCTGTCTTTAGTATTCACCGTCGTCTATTCGTTCTTGGTCAGCGTAAGTGTATCACTGGCAAATTTACCACTTTTCCTGATCATCATCATCCTCAACTGTTTGAGATTGAAGACAAGAGATGCTGACGCTCGGGTCGCCGCCCTCACAACTAGGTCGACCAAGGTAAAAATAAATACCATTTTATTTTTTTTTTCAAATTGAACATTAATAGGGAACTTAAAGCATTGATTTCCTTTAGGTAGCTACAGAATACGTTCAAAGTGTCAAAACAATCCAAATACTTAACTGCCAGAAGTATGTGGTAAACCAGTATCAGGAAATGCTTGCGCGTTCTAAGAAGTAAGCTAATTTTATTTTTCTATGTGTGTGAAATTCCTGAATATTTATTAATTGTTATAAATTAATTTTATTTAGGGAAGCAATGGGCAGCATCGCTTGGTATGCAGTTGTTTATAGTTTCTCTAAGACGTTGATAAGATGGACATTGGCCATATTATTTTTCTATGGAGTCGATGTTATTGCGAGAGATAATAATGTTCGTGGAACATTACTCATTGGGTAAGAATAACGAATAACTATTTTGATGTAAACTTTTTTGCCATCTTAAATAATCTCTTGTCCTATGAACAAAGCGACGAGATATTTTTTGCTTAAAAGGGAAACTCTAGTTGTTGAGAATAGAAGTAGTGAGGGGTAATTTTGAAGGGGAGAGAGGATAGCGGAGGGAGTATTGTCAAGCGGAGAAAGGATAGAGGAGGGAGTATGATAAAGAGGAGAGAGCATAGAGGAGGGAGAGGATGGTGGATGGAATGGAAGATAGAGGAGGGAGGATGATCGAGTGGAGAGAGGAGGGAGAATCGAGTATAGAGGAGGGAAGAGAGGTTATAGTGGGAAGAATATATAAGTGCCTTGATGGTCCAGTGGCTAGCGTGCTATTTTGTTATAATTAAAGACCTCGGTCCTTTATCTTCGGCGGGATGGCCGAGCAGGCTAATGCGTGTGTACCACACCGTGCGTTGCCCGGCAACCCGGATCAAAGATAAATTGATAAAAATTATAACATACCGGTGCCCTGGGGAGCTTGTAACTCTTGCATTAATTATCCATCCTCACCCTCTGATAGGGTTTTTTTCTATAGATTAAAAGGCGAGGAAGAGGATAATGAAAAAAAAAAATCCTACAGGTGAGAACGGGATCCCAGGTGAGCTTCTGAAACATGGCGGCGAGTTCTTGAGAGTCCTTTATGATAAAAGGGGAGAAAGGGAAGGAGAAAAAAAAAGTGTAGGAAGAATAGTAGAGTATAGATAGGAAAGACAAGAAATTGTGGAAAATGGAGAATAGGGGAGTGGGGATGGTAGAAGGAAATAGAGGATAGAGGAGGAGGGATGGTATATGGGAGAGAGGTTAGATACGGGTGAAGAGTTGAGAGAAGAGGGAATAGAGGAGAGAGTATGGTGGAAGGATTGAAGGGGGGTAGAGGTGAGGATGGTAGAGCGGAGAGATGATGGGAGGGAGGAACCTCCGACAGTGGAAGTAGCCACTGCTAGTCCCAAGCCTTGATGAAGGAAGAGGGTTCGGCGTGGGGCCTGCAACCTCACTTCGTAAAAAAAAAAAAAAAAACATCGCATCAACTTGTAAATGATGTCGGATTAACTTGATATTTGGTACTTATGTATTTGGCATTTTGTTTTCAAGGCCATGGAACACGAATATGACGTCAAAATTGGAAAATTTACAAGAAAAACAGAAAATTTAGCTATCTTATTTTAAACCTGTGAATTTTAAATTTGACAATAAATTAACTTTGAAAACGGTAATGACCTCTTGAAACGCATATTTTTAGATACATATTGATAACTACTGTTCATATTAATAATAATAATAATAATAAAAGGCTTAGCGAACCCGAAGGTTCGATGCCGACACCACCAATCGCTTGTTATAAACCTCCCTCCACCGTTCGCAGTCCAAACCCAGTCCCTTCAGATCGGCTTTAATGCAATCTTCCCACCTTCGCTTCGATCTACCCCTCGGACGCTTACCATTCGGCACAGCAAATATTAACCTTTTAGGAATTCTCTCGTTACTAAGCCCAGCAACTTTACAAGCCCATTTGATTCACCGCGATGAAATTACCTCAATTATATTACCCGGATACAGCTCACGCAATTCGGCGTTGTGCAACAGTCTAAACTCTCCGGTTAACTCATCCTTCTTCGGTCCGAATATTCTACGCAATACTTTATTTTCAAAAACCTTAAGACGCTGCTCATCCCTTAATGTAAGCGGCCAAGTTTCGCATCCATACAGAACTGTAGGCAAGATAATTGTTTTATAGATTCTAATTTTTAAGTTCCGGGACAAGAGGCGCGAACTAAGTAGTTTTGTCACAGAAAAATAACAAGCATTTCCCGCCTTCAGTCTAACCTTAATCTCTTCTTCTAAGCCTCGCGCGGGCTCATTACCGCATATGGGGAGCGTCCCACGGGTGGCGGATGTGGGGATGGTTGGTGGAAATTCATTGGAAGTTCCTCCCGGCTAAGTCCGATGGACTCGCTGACCAACAATGAGAGGGACCCTCCAGACTTGCTGGAGGAAGGGGACCTCCAGACTTGCTGGAGAAGGGACCTCCAGACTTGCTGGAGGTAGGGGCCCACCAGACTTGCTGGAGGGTGTGACGTAGGATTGAACGCCCTACTCACATATCTTTAGTTCACCAAACACCACAAATAGTCATGGATCTCCCTAAGGTAAAACTGTTCATATTAGTTAACATATATTTTTTTGTATTAACTAGTATTAAAATGTATCGTTTATGAATTATAAATATTTATTTTACAATAGTTTTTATGAAACAATAAAAATTTTTGTTTTATTTTTATTACAATACAATTTTAAACTCAGTCTTTTCTGTCATGTGCACTTCCGCTATAGCTGGAAATATCCTTTCAACCGCTGCAATATTTTGAGCTATAAGAATTTTGTCAGTTTGGTCGATCCCGAGCTCCGCGAATGACAGCCCGCCCCGAAATATTTTGGGACACATAAGCCTAAAAGTAGGACTGTCTTGCTGAAAACGGGACCCCTGGTCACGTGACCTTTAAAAGCCCTTATGCCGCCCATTTTTTTTTCATTTTTTACATAGCCTTTTTTTATTTTACTAATATTTTCATGAAAAATGTATTTTTGCCTAGCGTTGCATTTACTCTGAGCGTGGCATCCTCGTTGATTGGACCTGCCTTGGTCGCGACGAGCAACTATCCCTCGGCAAGGCAGGCGATCAAGCAACTCTACAGAATCGCCTATTCTAGAAAAGTCCTCAATACATTGACGGATGAAGGGATTAAACCAGTAAGTGGGATTGAATATAAATTAACCTTAATATATCGTCGGCACCATCCTGAAGTAACGAATCTGCTGCATTGAACAGGCTCACAATCGTTACTTTAAAACAGTGTCGAAGATATGTAACATTAGGGTGAATATTCAATACATTCGTCATGATATTCAAATGTATGTATATATATATATATTTTAGGAAATAAGAGGAAACGTTGAATTCCAAGATGTGATGTTCTCTTATCCGACAAGGGAAAAAGTCCAAGTTCTCAAAAGGCTGAACCTCAAGATTGAAGCAGGGAAGACGGTAGCTCTAGTAGGGGACTCTGGGTGCGGCAAATCGACTATCGTCTCACTTCTGGAGAGGTTCTATCTTCCCAATGAAGGGAAAATCGTGAGTATGATTTTTGTGAATCTACAAGAAAAATCATAACGCGTTAGCACAGAGGTCTACAAACTACGGGTCGGGGGCTTTTCTTGGATTACATGATAACAATTTAACAACTTTTTAATAAATAATTGAATAAATGACATAAACATGAGGTTACTTCAACATTTATTCCATGAGCTATTTCGCTAAGACAACTCATTTCGTTACTGATTCATACAAACTTTTTTTCTGTCACAATCCATGTCTGAATGTAGCCCGCGGGCCAAAAACATTGGAGACCCCTGCGTTAGACCACTCAGCCCTCCTTCCCCACCCCGAGATATCGATATGTGATAGATCGAATTTAAAATCTACATTCGTCGTAAACCAACGACTTCCTGTCCTACAGTTTCCTTTAACAATACTCCACTTATCCCTGTTGAGCAAATCCGATACCTAAGACTCCACCTGGATAAACGACTAACTTGGAATCCTCATACTAGACTGAAACGACAAGAAAACGCTCGACGTTTCCGATTACTTCAGCATTTACTAGACAAAAGCTCTAAACTTCCCATTAATTACAAAAGACTCATATACTTGACTATAATAAGACCTATTTGGACTTACGGAGTTGAGCTATGGGGCTCCACTAAACAATCGAATTCCTCTAGCATCCAATCCTTACAATCCAAAATCCTTCGTAAAATCCTCAATGCTCCTTACTTTGTCACTAATAAAATTATCCATAAAGATCTTAATGTTCCTTATGTTTCAGATCTGGCCCAATCCAGATACCTATCCTTCCATAATAAACTTCAGAATCATCCCAACCCTCTCGTTTCTAACCTTGCTTCCTCTTCAATTCCTGATAACCCTCCGAGGCGTCTGAAAAGAAGATGGCCCCGTGATCTCCTAATGTAGTCATAGAATTTAATTCATGTCATTATATCAATTATGTCCAAATTTACTTGATGTATTTATGTAATACAGTTGTAAATGTCATAAAGAAATTAAAAAAAAAATCTACAGTATTTTCAAAAGCTTCACATTCGTAAATATAATCATTGGCCCTAAAATAAATTAAATCGATATGTAATCAATCGATCTTAAAATTACATTACATATAATGCCTCACAATTTAAAATTATAACTTGATAATCCCACCATTTTAATTTTTCAGTTGATCGACGGCAACGATATCAATGATATAAACGTGAGATATTTGCGAAGTCAGATGGGTCTCGTTTCGCAAGAGCCAGTCTTATTTGATATGACAATAAAGGAAAATATCCTTTATGGTTTGGAAGATGAGGTTACAATGGACAAGATCATAGAAGCTGCGAAAATAGCAAACATCCACGACTTTATAATGAAACTTCCCCAGGTATGTTTAATGTTTATAAATTTGTTAATGATTTCTGATTAAGGTAACTAGTAGCATCATGTACCTTGAAATGGTTATATTTTAATATTTTTGTTAGAATGAGATCAGAAGAAAATAGAATAAAAAAGAATGGCCGGGTATTTGCTACTGGCTTTTAGATGATATATCGATTAATGAATTCTAACGAGCAATCAAATAAAAAAGTCGATTAACTAATCATGATTATTCTTTCATGTATATATGAATAAACGTTTCAGGCTTACGAGACATCGGTCGGAGAAAGGGGTTCGAAGCTATCGGGAGGACAGAAGCAGAGGATCGCCATTGCTAGAGCAGTCCTCAGGAACCCCAAGATATTACTTCTGGACGAGGCTACTTCTGCGTTGGATACAGAGAATGAGAAGGTATTGAAATGTGTTAACCAATCAGTAACAAATGGCAAAATTTAAATGCAGATAACATGATACCAGATACCCGGTAAGTGATCCCCTCTCCTCCCATTTTAAGGGTTATAATACTCTTCAGACCTGAATTACAAATAAGAGTTGTTTTGTTTTTTAAAACTATTATAACAATGAATCAATAGTAAAGTGATATGTTCACATTACATTTTAAATGTTTAAAACTTATTTATTCCTCTGTACCATAATTCATAAATTCGCCTAGGTCGAGAGCTGTACGCACAACCTTCCTCCTGTGAATGACGCCCTTCCTGGTTTAGCAATTTCTCTTGTACCAAAGAATAAGTTAGGTTAGTTTATGCCAACAAAAGACAGACTTTGTACAATTATTTCCATGATTATTATCTGAGCTCAATATCTCTCCGTCAAAAAGCCGAGCCTTGTCTTCCTTAATGACTTAATTCTGCTTGGCCTTCAATGACTCAGAGACTGTGCAGACAAGTGAATTATGTTGAAAGTCTTCAGCATCCCACAGCCGGGACATACGTGGGATCGATGTCCTTACCATTAGCAACATGTTTCGCGAGGATCTGTGCAATTCATACCGTATTCTAAAAGTATCTAAGCATAACACCACGTCTCAGTACATCCCGAGATGATTTCAATGATGGCATGTCTTCGTCAACATCCTTCGTATATGTATGATGAAACCAACGTAAATAAGAAATCCCACCTGATATCCGACACTACTAGCCAGGTAATACTGCCTCAGGTACATTACATTGAATTTGGATAATTAACCGCTGTTGGAACCTATTGTTCCCCTCCATATATTGGTCAGAGTTATCGAGTACCTCATCGTTGCGTTGGTTAGTTCTCGACTGCCCGTGTTGAACTAAAGGATGGTGATTTTGCTTATAGAAGGTCCTCTTATGACGATGGTAAGCTCAGATTCCTTGGTGGCTTGACTTATCCTTTGTTTAATGTGGATACGACTGCACACCTTTAATTCAAGTAAGATCAGCTAATGGATACTTTCTTTGGCAATCCTTCAGTGAGTAAATGGCCACTAGCTACACCACTAATACAAACCACGGTATCCACCGCAATGGTGTCCCTAGCTTGGAGGCTGCGTGCACTAAGGGGTTTCGATGTAGTCTACTAACGTCATCGAACACCAAGGATAATACCCAGCTGCTATTTCCAGCAGCTAAATGCTACCGTTGAGTAATTAGAGCACCCAATTCCTAGATTTTAAATTGGAAACATTGGCCTTATCGTCACTAACGAATAGCACCGATTCCTCGATTGTTCTTCTCAATAAACCTCATAAGGCATGCATGCCTTTCAGCTCCAGCTTCGGTTTCTTCCTCAGGGCTAGTTTCACTGGTAAAGACATTTCACGTAGCCCATACCAACCAACAACGGTATAGGAACTGTTGTGAAGCATTACATGGCTTGCCTGGGTCGCACGAACTATTGTGGCCTTAATACCTATGTATGACGCACATGATGCTGAGGAAGATAAACTGTTGATGACATATACAAGTTTTTAATTCACTTGAAGCAGACAGAGATTCTGCCCCAACCTTCGTTGTCATAAGTTTTGTGTCGGTTATATTAATTCCTATCCGCCTAGGGTTTAATAAAACTTCGAACTTCACTAATGAATTTATTTTCTTCAATTTCACGCCTTCTCCATTGTGTCCAGGGTGGACCTCCCATCTGGTTTGGTACGCCAAGGTCTGTAATTTATTAATGAAGAAATATTATTCATATTTCAACAAAACCAAAAGACTTTACTATTTTTATTTAATTGGGATGGATTTTAGTATGTTTTAATTAATTTCATTATGTTTTGCAGGTTGTGCAGGAAGCTCTGGAGAACGCCTCTGTCGGTAGGACCACTATCGTGATAGCTCACAGACTGTCGACGATCCGTAAGGCAGACAAGATAGTGGTCCTCCAGTCTGGCGTGGTAGTAGAGGAAGGGAACCACGAACAGCTGATGGAGAGGAGAAGCCACTATTTTAACATGATTAATAGATAATTTAACATTCGTTTCAAAAGGAATCGCATTGTAAATCATATTGCATATAATGTAAATATTTTATTTTAGGCTATTATATTTTAGTATTGCTCATATGATGTAAGTGTATTATTTTCTCACTGCAACTGTCCATATTGTGATTGAATGTTATATTATTTAATAAAACAGTTTTTAAAAAAAGTATCACTTAACGTATATGGTCCTTTCTTCACATGGAATACATTACAATATTAAATGAAAGTAATCATATCAAAACTCACTAGAATTGGTAGGACCTTTTGACAAAAAATATACGGGAAATATAGGTTTTTATCTCTGTTGGAGTAGATCTACCTTAATGTAAATAACCTTCTTTGTGTTAAGTAGATATAAAAGACCGATTCTGGCGCAGGTCCTCGGTGCATGATGGTTAGTATCTTCTTTTATTGAAGGGGCAAAGGATACATCTACCAGAACAGTAGTATGTATCACACATTGACTAATAATACATTTTATTTGATATAATTGTAGAATTTGTATATCACGGTGTATTTTTTTTTTTAATCATTTTTGATTTTATATGTACAAAAAAATATTATATAAAATAGAATTATCTGTGTATATTTTACTGATTGTGTGCATCTCTCTTAGTTCAGCCTACTGCTTTAAGCCCTCTCACCACGGCAAGGTGAAGATGCATCGAGAGGGTGGCTTACGGGCGTTTATAGCCTCGCCAGTGACCATAACATACAGGTTTACGGGCGTTTATAGCCTCGCCAGTGACCAAAAACACACGCATTGGTTTACGGGCGTTTATAGCCTCTCCAGGGACCTCCATTCACACTTATAACTTTTCCTACTGTCTAGAATATATTTTTAAATATATTTTTTTATTATTTTCTTTTAAAAATATTACTAAATATATGACTAAAAAATATTACTAAATTTTCTTTCTATTTTTTCACCTCAGTCAATTTATAATGACCATAGGCCAAAGTATTGACCCCGTCTTCTTGTATATGTCTTTTATCGTCAAATGGTGAAAGAGAAACTTTATTAATCTCAGAGCTAAAAATATTATGTTGCTTCGATTGTATTAATCTCATAGGTGTATGCATGATTTCATTTTTCAATAGTACTTGTTCGTAATCTTCAAAACTAATATATTTTTTTAACGATGACGCTTTTACGCCCTTAGCACGCTTTTTTACATCACTTTCTGTCATAATCGCATACATTTTTGCTCGTAAGCCCACATATTTTAAAATTATCTTGGAATTTAGTTCATCCTTAAATTTTCCCAACTTTTTTTTGTTTTCTTCCGAGAAACAGCGATGAGTTCTAGGATAATTTGAGAAATCAAAATACTGATTCAGTTTGTTCATGTCTTCAAAGACATCCTCCGTTAAAACTCTATAAATAAAGGAATCGGTATCGGTGTACATCATTTTTAAGGTATTACCGGAATATTTTTTTAACATAATGTCATAATGAAATTGGTACATAACAGTTTTAGATAAATCTAAAATGCTCATACCAATATATATAGGTTTGTTAAATATAACTTTAGATTTTCCCATATGCACTGCCGCTATATTCTCATTGTAGATTGTACGGTCTATAAAATTTGGTTTAGCAATGAGTTTCATCAACTTTTTCACGTCAGTTACTAGTTGAATATTTTGATGATTCCTGATATTTTCCATTGTCTTACCGAAAACTGCGTTGTTTAGTAACTTATAAAAATCCTTTTCAAAGTCGTTGGAAGCTCCTTTTCTCAATTCTGTATTGTATTCTATATACGAGCGAAGCCAAGGTGATTGTTTAAACTTTAATGCACGGTGAATTTTTTCTAATTTTAATCCATGTTTTACGGCTTGCATCAAATTTTTATAATGTAGAACGTAGCGAGTTCTTTTTCCGAAATGGGTTATTAATTTTTTTGAATTACAATTGGCTTCCGGTGATACAATTGTTTCAGGTAGGAAGGGCAAATCATTATGAATATGATGCAGTTCTTGAGGATAGCTAATGTCAATTTCGAAAATATATCCAATTTCATCCTCGTCCTCAAGATCGAAGATGTTTATAGATTCCGGATTTTTAACCCACTCAAATCCTCCATACGGTAAATACATACTCATCGATTGACCGTAAAGATTGTTTGCATCTAAATAAATTATGTAACTGGATTCTTCGTTTGAATTGAAGCTACTTATATGTTTATTATTTGCTTCTGCATACCGGTGCGATACCTGACACAACCCTCCACGAATTCCATGCTCTATCATTAAAATCATGTCATAATCCTGTAAAAGCTCTATGTTCATTTTTGTATATTTTAACATCGCATCCCACGTCAAACCGGGAACGGTAAAATAATGAGCTGGATCAAGTTTATGCGTCTTCAACATAACATTGCGAAAAGATTCGAAGACGTCACAAAGTAGAAGAACGTCAGTTTTAACGTAAACATCTGCGTATTCCCTAAAGATTGACATTTGAATTGTTTCCATATGTTTCGAGCATGTTTATAATCTTCAACGCTGATATCAGTTTCACATAATTTATTGTAAAAAGCTTCAATGGGTGGGAGCTCTGTTTCATTTAATTTTTCTGCACTATCTATATAATCGTATGGGAACACACCTTTTCTTGTAACCAATACTAATTCTTCATCTCGATAATATTTTGAAGTTTCCTTGAATTTATCCATTGATAGCGATTGTACAAGGTAATCTAAGCTTCGTGGCATGAATCTATAAGAATCTATGAATCTCAATTTTATTTTACCCACATGTTTAGTGAATGATATATATTTTTCTTCGTTGTTTGGTATAACCTCAATATCTCCAGGAATATTTCCCAATTCCTTAACTATGAAATGTGCGTCATAATTGCTCAAGTTATGCATTATAACAGGTACAAACGAGGGGTTCACACGTTTTAAATTACAATTATTACAAGATGGTCCTAAGTAAGTTCCTGTTAGGTGGCAGTGGTCTCTTACTTTTATATTGTTTTCATTAAATACGTTTTGACACATGTAGCAGGTGTTAGTTTTAGACCAATCTTCCTCTTCTTCTGATGAGATCCGCATCGGTTTGTTTATCATATAAATTTCTTGTATTTTGTTTGCTATTTTTACAATACATTCCATAAAGTGAGAAGCGGCATTTGCTCCCCTATAAACGTACGGTTCGGTTACCTGAGTGTCTACTCCTTCAATTCCTTTTACATATATACAAAACGATATCGGATCATGCCTCTGATATTTGGTCGTATTTAATGACGACTCGTTTATAGGAACTAATACGGATTCAAAGTCAGCATAAATGACAAACGGTACTTTACTTTGTCGCTCAACATTTGAGAATCTGATAAAGGGATCTTTCGGTAGCTCAATTCTTACCGGTTTATTTTCAGAGCAATATATTTTATGTTCTTCAAGTTTATCACCTGATTTTTTCCCATACCGGTTGTCAAAATGTGTAAAACAGCGCTTACAAAATGTTACTTTATGTCCGTATTGGGTAATTTGGTTTCCGACTAATCTTTCAAAATTCTTTATGTAAACATAGTGGGAAGTTTGATCATCAGACAGGAGTAAAAGATCGCGATGGTCTTTCAATTCCGTTTTACAGACTTTTAGAGGGTATATCTTTTCTTTTTCATCCAGACCATAAACATTGATGGAAATGTCATTTATTTTTTCGAATTTCGTTATTTCGTTGAGAGAAGTTGGGAATGAAATGCAATTAAAATCATACGAATGATCTAAATTGACGTACTTAGTGACACGTTGAGCATTCTTTTCCACAAATTTTGCTAAAATGGAATACTTGAAACAGTACATGTCATTATTCTGTACATTAATGCAACATTTCTTCAATTCTATAGATGCAGGGAGAGGAATATATGTAGATCCCCTTAACGGTAAATATTTGTTGATTCTCAATCTGATACCATCAACTCCACTCAGTTTCCACCCACTTTTTTGAAATTGAGACTCCTCTGCTTCAGTTTTAATTTTGATGAAACTTTTCTCAATAAATTTGACAAGATCGCTACTTTTAAATATACATTTGTTTCGTGTTTTGAATGCTTTGTCATTCATTTCACCAAGAGAATTTGTAAATGTACATTCCAATAGAAAATTTACTTTTAATGCGCAATGTTGATGTAGTAAATCTCGAATTTTATCCGCTAAGAGGTTCTTAATACTTTCCAAAAATGAATTAATATCCATACAATCTGATGATCTAATGAAGAATGACGCCAAACGGTTTTGAAAAGCTGTTTCATACATATTGATTCCCTGTTCATCTGGAACGAGTGTTAGCACTTCATTTTTTTGTGGCTCAGATAATTTAGGTTTTTTTAAGAACGGTTCCTGAGTGCAAACATCTTCATGTCTCTTACCGTTATAAGTATTTGAAAAAATCTCTCTACATCTAGTACAAGTATATGCCGAATTACCATTACAAGATTTTTCATGTCTACGAAGGCTTTTCAAATACTCATAAGAATTTCCACAAAGATTACATTTAAACTGATTCATTTTTGTAATATATTACAAAAACCTATACAATTTATAAAGAGTGTGAACGATTTACGAACTTTGAAGAAAAAGATAGGTATAACCTATACAATATAACAATAAATATAACCTCTACAATATAACAAGAAACAATAAATATAAACTACAAAATTTAAAAAAAAAAATATAACTTCTATAATTTAAAAAATAAAATAAATATAACCTCTACAATATATTAAAAAAAAAAATATAACCTCCACAATACAAAAATAAATAATAATCTATACAATATAACAATAACTATAACCTATGCAATTGATAACCTAAACAAAATACTATAACCTACAAAAACTGACTCAAACAAAATAATCTATACAACAAACAAAGATTTATATGACCACAAGACGATGTTCACACTACGATAGCAAAGACGCAAATGAGGTCTCGCGAAACCGACATCTCTTATATACTCTTGAATAGC